TAAATTAATAATAATTTAATGTTATTAATAATAAATAACAACAATTAATAATCTTATTATATTTTAAATATTTTTTTAATTTTATGGTTTATAATGGATAAGTCAACGTAAACAAATACATTAATAATAGACCTAGACCTATTTTAGACCTAGAAATATCGGTGGCAATCGAAAGCCCGACAACCGAAATCCCGTCAATGAAATTTTAGACTGTATCGAAATCCCGACAGTATCAAAATCCCGACAATCATAATGACGACAATCATAATCCCGACAACCATAATCCCGACTATATGGAATATGTCTACAATAACGTATTTAAATTATTCCAGAGCATAATCATTTTGAAATTGTTATTAATAATAAATAACAACACTTAATAATCTGTATTTGAGATTCTTTCATATTGTTAAGGTTTATTATAAATAATTCAACAAAATTAAATAAATTAATAATTTATTCTTATTAATAATAAAAAATGTAGCACATGGTGACTACAATCCGAAATAATTTAAAAATGTTATTGTAGAAATTTTCAATATAGTCGGGATTATGGTTGTCGGGATTTCGATGTAGACCCCTAAAATATATATATTTAATTTAGTTTTTATGTTATATTATATTTTTTACCGAATAACTTGTTATTATTAATATAATAATAATTATAAGTGAGTTTCTTAAAAATATATTTTTGAGTATATGTCGCCGACTTGACCGTCGCCGAGTTGGCAGGTGCCCAGTTGACCGTCGCCGACTTATCCGTCACCAATCTGTCGAGTACCCGTATTAAAATAATGCATGCAAAGACTGCTTATTTTTTATTTTTTTATAATATTATTTACATTTAATTAATACATATTTTGCTGGTAATTTACTTGTTTGTTGTTGATTCGTTTGCCATTTATTTTTTGTTTTGTTATTTATTGATGCAATGTTGATTGACTTAGTGCTTCTTGACGTTGAGGCTCTCTTATTTTTTGTTCTAATTCATGCGTGATTTGTTTCTCTTCTCTAGTTCTTTCTTATTTGAAAACTGTCACCACTGATATTACTTGCGTCGGCTCTGTATACATTTTGTCTGGTGTTTGATTTTAATATTTCATATGAATAAACTTTTTTTCTTATCACCTGAGACCGTAAATTATTTATGACCCTTCTTGTACACCAGTATTTTTTGTTAGAAATTTGTTGGCTATATTTTGCTCTTTACATTAATGCACTGTTTTAGTTAGGTTTTGACTCTTTTAATTGCTTTGAGCTCACGTCAACATATGCACCCAACCTCACATTCTTTTCACTATTAACTATTAAATAATAATATAAAATATATACAATACTAGCTCTAACAAAGTTAATAAAAAGGATTTTTATTTTCTCTAGTGGTGATATTAAGTGTACGCGCTACCCTCGTAAGGAATTTCATGATTGCCGCCTTTGGGTTAGGCATGACTAAAGGAGATTGGGTATTCGTGGCATTGGAGATGAATAACGTAACATTTTGAAATCATGCTATACTATGATGATAGTTGCTTAAAATTCATTTTTTGTTAGGAGAGTTATTGGGAAGACTCGGTTTGGTCCGTTGACAACAAGAATGACTCCGTTACAAGAAAAGCATACGAGGCTCTCATCAGAGTGAGTTTACTTCTTCCAACTAAAGTCAGATTCCAGGATGTTGCGGATAAGGATAAAAAAAAAACTCAGACTGATTATAATTACATTATTAGCGAGAGGAAAAAGGTAAATTACAAGTTACTTGCGCAAAAAACATTAGCAATATTCATCCAGGATGTACGATTTATGTGTTTGTAGGTGGACTTCGCGATTGGCGCATTTTACGACGGTATTTACTTGCTTGGTATGGCTTTGAACGAGACGATTTCTATGGGTGGAAACATCAGAGACGGCCTGACCATAACCAAATTGATGTGGGGTCGTGAGTTTAACGGTACAAAATCATTATTTTTTTTAATAATAATTAACTCATTAACAATATACTTTGATTTTATTTAGGAATTACCGGTCATGTCAAATTCGATGATAAAGGAGACAGAGATGCGGATTACTCCATACTCGATTTGAACCCAATAACAGGGAGCTTTGAAGTTGTCGCTCATTACTCCGGTTTGAACAAAACATATTTGCTGGTTCCTGGACAGATGATCCATTGGCCAGAAGGACGAAAAGACCCTCCGCTGGATATTCCAAAATGTGGATTTTTGAATGATCATCCTAAATGTATGAATGATGGTAAGTCATAATATATATAATGCACTCAATGAAATGTACTTAAATAAAAGTACACCAAGTTCCATTTTAAATATTTCTACAATGCAACTGGAATTGCTTTCCTACGTTTTCTTACTAATAATTTTTGCTGTTTATGTATATTGCCGCTGCTATCAAAAGAATCAGCAATAAATATTATTTATGGAATTGTCGCTTTAGGATTGATCTTAGCTTTCTCAGCTTCACTAGCTTTTGTTTATTTTAAGTAAGTAGTTATACATTTTTTAATATAATTACATTTTATTCTTTATTTATAAATGCGTTTAACCGGTTATGAAATTGCATATCAAAAATAGTAAATGTTCACCTAATATCAGCGCCGGATTTACGAAGTAAGTCAAATAAATAAAGAAAAAAACATTATTACCAATAAGCTTCCGCACCAATACAACCATATTGTGTTACATTTCTTTACATTACCGTAATCTGAAGCAAATATTTGTAAATATAATACAAAATTTTACAACCATTAAAAATGTTAACTTTGGAAGGAAGTAAAATTGTCAGTAACACTGGAGTATCCTGTCGGACAACTGATTTGACATTCGCACGATGTAAACATACGAGGATGTGACTTTTATGTAGTGTTGTTTGATAAATTAAATATTTTGTCTTTATTGTGGCGTTAACTTAGTTTTATACATTTAGCAGATCTGACTTATTAATTAGAAATGGCCCTAATATTTGGTGAACATTATAATATTTCATTATAACTAATAAAATTAATGCAATTTATGTTAGGCGTGTAAGGCGAGTACCAGAGAACTTAAACAACATGTCATGGCACATACGACCCAATGAGGTGATATTTGACTTAGATATATTTTACGACTCCGAACTAGGGCTTCTGAGGTTACCTGAAGTAATGATACACGTTGAAATAAGGAAACTTAATTATAAAAAAATATTTTATTTGTTTTGCTAGTCAATCAACTCGCTGCATACGTCATCAAATATTATTACGGAGGGAATCTACAGAGGTACTCGTGTATGCATAAAGAAAATTACCAAGAAAAAAATGGATATTAACAAGAAACTTCTCTGGGAAATCAAGCAAGTACGAAATATAAAATGTGCAATATCGTATAACATTGACAAATTGAATGTTAGCATGTAAAAAACAGATGTATATATTTATGTTTGTTCTCTCTACTTTCATAAAGACATTTTTTATGTGCAAATGGAGCTTCATTCCATTTCTTTAAGGTTAAAGATGTTATACACGAGAATGCTGTTTGCTTACTGGGTGCATGTATTGAGAGTCCGACCGTCCTTATTATCACAGAATACTGTACCATGGGAAGTTTGCGTGAGGTTCTACGTAACGATGAAATTAGTCTTGATTGGAATATCAAGATGTTGTTAATTGACCATATTGCTAAAGTGAGTAAACATAATGATATGTAACCAAATGAACAACTCTTCTTTTCAAGGGGATGAGCTACCTGCACAACAGCGAGATTTCCGCTCATGGGAAACTAAATTCCCACAATTGCTTAATCGATGGCCATTTTGTATTGAAGATTTGCGATTTCGGTCTAACCTCTCTAATGACACCAGACGATATCATCAAGGATATCAGTTATTATATGAGTAAATCCATTCATAACTTATATTTTGCTTCCTTCATCTAATTTACACAATTATTCTTTTCATTGTAATATATTCATTTCACATTTCGTAATACCATATTAGAGTCATAGCTAGCTTATCTTTGATTAAAAAATATATAATACATGCATTTATAAAATATTCGAGGTAAATTCACCGATATTAATGTTTCAAACATTAATTTACCGATTAAATTTATATACAATAATTATAAGTATTAATTGCAATATTAATTATTTAACTTTTAATAATCCAAGAACTATTGTGGGTTGCTCCGGAACTGCTTCCTAACACCGTCATAGTAGGAACTCCGGCAACGCAAAAAGGCGATGTCTATAGTTTTGCTATTATCCTTGAGGAGATTATTCTGAGAGCTGGTCCTTTCTTTGCCGCAATGCAATGCGTAGATGTTCATGGTATTATCATATAGACACTTTAGAATTTCTTAATTTGTATTATTATATTTTTCCTAAGAAATTTTAAAACGCGTGGTTGCCAGGGCGACTCCTCCATTTAGACCGACCGTGGATGATACAAACTGTTCCGACGGTTTGATTTATCTAATGGAATCATGCTGGGAGGATAATCCAAATCACAGGCCCACCTTCGACGTTATCCGTGGGGCATTCCGATCTATCATGAAGTACATATTATTTCCAAATTATTACTTAATTGTCTTACTCACTTTTTTTAAGGAACTACTACGGAAATATGATGGAAACTCACCAGACCCAAGGAACACTATAAAGTATGATAATAAAGTCAAGAAAAATGTCACTCCGGAGTACCCTTATACTAAGTATTAATAATTAAAATACAGTGGAATCTCGCTTAACGAACATAATCCGTTCCAAAATTTCCGGTTTTTTACACGTATAGTGAAATACTCGTATAGTGAAACAATGTTTACGATAATGCGTTCCATGCCGGAAATGATAGTACTTGGCCTCGATTTTTAATGATTTTACTTTTCATTTTTATTCGGAGACATGCAAGTGTTATTAAATTATGCACAAAAAAAATCAGTAATAACATGTCCAAACACAAGGAACAATTCACAAATGGTAAAGTGAGTCCATTTGTTTATATATAAAAACGTATGTTTATATTTGAAAAGTATAGTCCGCTAAAAACAAAGATGACAAAAAAAATCGAAGATGGTTAATATATTCAAAAAATACACATATGTGTAAGTTTTGAAAATAATATAGAAGGCACTCGTCATGCGAAACGTCGCTCGTTAAGCGAGTCATTTTTGTTAAAAATTATTTTGCTCCTTAAGCTAAATCTTCCTTAAACCTCGTTAAGCGAGGTTTCACTGTATATAAAATTTAGATATATTATCTTAGGAAGAAATATTTCAATCATAAAGATGTATTTTTGGCAGTATCCTGAATATAGCAACATCTTGCATTCTTAAATCTTAATTTTTTAAACTAAATATGTTGAATGTTTATATACAACCAGTGGCGGATTATTGCATTAGGGCCTCTCAAATCAAGAATACCTGACAGTAGCTCTCACTTTGTTTTTTTTAGAAAGTCACCCTCCTTCAATAACCTATACAATTTTTAACTAGAAATATATTTAAATTGGAAATATTTATAGGAATGCCTCACAATTAAATTGCGTCTTGGGCCTCTCAATTGCTCAATCCGTCACTATATGCAACTAAGCATATATTGAAGAAGTTTGGTACCCTTAATCTAGATTCCACCCGAGTGTACTTATTTGTCATTTATATCCACTAGTAATCATGTATCAATAATCATATTACCTGTTCTGAAAAGTATTCAATATTTATTGTAGAAGAAATATTAATGATAATGTTCAGAAATAAAATTCATTATAATTTAATATTAATTAATATTATGTCGTGTCCCAGGGATGGAATTCTAGACACAGTGGAATATTGTCTGATGCTGTCGTTGTGGAGTCTCAGTTGTAGGAATTAAATAATTTGTTTGGTTTTTAAGAGACTATGCTCATCATATTAACGTTTTACTGAGATTATTCTAAATACTTATTCTACTTACAAAGCTAATTCTTATTAATACGGGGTGGGAGTTTTGATTGGGAATTGATAGGGCATATATTGATGATTAAGCGTTCCCACGGGACAAAATCTTATACATTTGTTTATATGAAAAATATGATTGATTACGATTGTACTCAAAATTTGGTTTAAAATATTCTTCGTCACTTTCTAAAACAATATAAAAAACAATGAGAAATAAAAAAAAACAATATTACAATAAAATACATAAAACTGTGAAATCTTTAATTTCTAAGTGCAATAGATGTGTTTTGGCATAAATTTATTTTCTCTTATTTAGTTTCTATAAATCGAATTTAATTCTTTGTCCATTTATCAAAAATATTATCTTTAAAATTTAAATTTTGTCCATATCCAACTAAATTTGTTGAATCCGGTATTACTATAAATTTGAGTTTTAATAATTTACCATTTATTTCAATGTTACCTTCACAACTACCGATTGTTTCAAATTTACCTACAATACAATCAATTAAGGCATTATATTTAGTAATTTTACATGACTCATTTTATTTACTTTCATTAATTAAAGATAAGTCCGATCCTGTGTCAAGTAAAAATGTTGTTCGTTCTTTTTTGCCTATATCTAATTTAAATTCTACAGATCTTTTAAATATTTTCTTGTGCTGGCTGCACTGTTCCTGTTGAGTGAAATTATTTTCTTCGGAATTATCGTGAACTAATTCTTTTTCTTTGTCTTCAATAACCAAAATTGATTTTGAATGTTTATTTCTTTTTCCTTTATCTCTGCTAAATATATTATTATAATTCGATCTAAAATAACAACTTTTCGTTTTATGATTATTTTTTCCACATATAAAAACATTTCATCTTCTAAATTTTCCTTTCAACATTTATATAATTTACTTGATAATAATTTTGATTTTCATTATCATTAATTTCCAATTTTAATAATTTTTGCAAGAAAAATTTAATATTTTGAGTTTCCATTTTAACTTTAATTAAATCTTAATTTTTATTCTGACCAAAAAAAAAGATTTTATGATTTCTTGTAATTTCTACAGAAAACTGTTTTTAATTAATAAAAATTCGGCCATTTGCACAACTACAACAATCAGAAATAAAAAATTCCACTTACATAAGTTTTTGCTTCTCCCGTCCGCCTGCGATTTCGTCCGTAATAGCTCCAGGAATTGGTTTACCCTCTGCTGCGAATGGCTTTGAAGGAACCGTGAACTTGGCTTAAATCGTTCTATGGTTTCGTAGATGCAGTTGTAACGAGTCCGTTGTCCAGTCTTCAGGAATTAATTGACTCTCGTCGGCTAGAATCCAGAAATTGTTGACTTCTTACGATATTCGGTCACGTTAGGTTTGTACACCGCTGCCACAATGTCGTGTCCCAGGGACGGAATTCTGGACACAGTGGAATATTATCTGGTGTTGTCGTTTTGGAGTCTCAATTGTAGGAATTAAATAATTCAATTGGTTTTACATAACTTTATTATAATAATTGGTACTCTTGGGGTCCCTTTCCAAGACAATGTAGTTATTTTGATAGGTTGACTAAGACTAATTTTAAATACTTAATCTACTTATAAAGTTAATTCTTATTAATACGGGGTGGGAGTTGTGATCGGGGTTGAATTCGGAGTTAAGGTATAGAAGTATCGATGGGAATGTTTACGCTTGGTCCCCTTTGTTTATACTAAAGTCCTTTATGCCGATTCTTATGTTTATATAATAATCCGACTAAGAGACGCTTTGGATGTCTCTAGTTCGTTAATACACTATATTAATAATAACAATTACAATAATAATGGTTGGACACAACAGTACGTGTAATGATTATTATATGTTTATAATAAGGACTTGAATGCGGAATAAAGGTATAGGAGTATCGATGGGAATGTTTACGCTTGGTCCCATTTGTTTATACTAAAGTGTATCGAACTAGGATCACTAGGATCGAACTAGGATAACAATTATAATAATAATGGTTGGACACAACAGTTTTACTTCTAGTATCTGTTTCATCGGTCGTTAGATCGTTTAATAGTTTTATTCTGTTGTGTTGTCATGGCCGACCATTTTATTATCATCTATTGTATAATAAATATGTATATTTGTTAGGTCTACCAATTTCCTCTTAATTAGTACAAATCATATTTGACGTATCCATCAAATATATAAGCGGATACGTCATTAATTAGAATAACTTGTGGAATATTTCGAAGAACGGTTACACTTTAAATTGTATAGTTGCGTCTATTTTATCACCACTTAACAGCCTTCTTCTGCCTCTAAATATTGGGGTAGGATTATAAAACTTAGATAAAGAAACGGTTGTATTTTCCTCAAGCTCAAAACTAATTTCCTTACCTCCGACGCAGACCCTTTTTGAAATGGATTCATGTTTGTATTATATAATTTTGTCTTTGATATGGGGCCGACTGAGAAGACATTCACAAATAATATTCAGTGGCATCAGGAGGTGAAAGGCCACTGAGATACTCGTGCAACTCTTCATTTTTCATATTTTTTTAACCGTCTTATGCAACTATTTAAGCGTGTTTTGTCTGCAGGATCACGAGAATTTTGCCAAGTCATCCTCAGTTTGAGCTTCTAAGATATTTAATGGGCATTTGTATGTTGTTCCATTCAACGATAACAGGGGAATAGCGTTTCATGCTGCTGTTTGAATGGATTAAGTGAGATGTTCAACAGCATCCTCCAGGTCCTGCTCTATCCGCAGGACAGAAAAGTAATTTATTTAGAATATCTTTCAGCATACTCCAGAGTAATGTAAAACGAAAAATCGGGATGGTAGTGACCAACCACTAAAGTTTGGGTAAAACTGAGGAATATTATAAGTCATTAACAGAATCAATAAGCAGAGTAGTCAAATCCCACGGAAGACAGTGACCATTTGCAGCGTTTCTTCGTATTTTTAACTGATAAGACCAAATTGTAGAATTGACAGATCACACGGAGAAAAGTGACCTGAAGCGGAGCGTCTTTTTAAAAAAACGTGTCATACTCCTCAAACTCCCACCCCGTCCGTATTAATAAGAATTAACTTTGTTAGTACAATAGGTGTTATGTAATTAGTATTAGTAAATCTTTTAAAGTATCTACATTGTCTTGGAAAGAACCCCAAGTACCAATTATTATAATAAACTTGTTTTAAACCAAATGGATTATTTAATTCCTACTACTGAGACTCCATAACGACAACACCATACAATATTCCACTGTGTCCAGAATTATATCCCTGGGACACGAAAATAATTTATTTAAAAAATAAAGAAATGATAAAAAAAAATATAACAGAAATATTCATAACTTTTTTATAGCAACATTCGTGCCTCTCATTAAATAAAAAGAAAAAATGTTGTAAAAATCATAAAAGTTGAGTTTCGAAAACATTTTTGTATAAACTCTGTTCCTACAGTTGAGGTAGTAAAATCACTAACAGAGCAATATTTATAGTTTATATTTAGAAGACAAATAATACATAATAAATTACAATAATAAAATTACAGGAGTGCGATTGTTTTTATTATCTTTTAATATTTTTTTATTTCTTTGTGTGATATGATTATTATCATACTTCTTGTGCACAATTGGGGCGAAAGTGAGACCCATAATACAAAAATAAATAATAATAAACTATTACAAAGGGCTACTGATCATAGCTCTTTCCGCCCTCGATTTAATTTATTAATAAATATTTATTAATATTCTAATAATAATAATAAAATTTATTGTAACAAATCATAATAATATTAATTGCAACAATACAAAAGATCATAATTTAACATTTCCATACAATAATAAGGAAACAAAAAATTCAACTGCTACAAAGGACTATTGACCATAGGTCTTTCTGCCCTAAATATTCTAATATTACATAAAGCGCGTGTAGCATTGATATTGAAATTATTCTTTCACTAGCTGTTCTACATTAATTGACTGACTGCGTATAATTAGAACCAAAGGTAATAGTTCGCCCTTTCAACAACGTCATAAAGTGTGAATCTAAATCGATTTTATTTCCAGGTACACATGTGTCGGTTTGTCTCATCATTTAAGTTTCTACTTTAAATAACTATAAGAAAAACAATTGCATAACGTGACTACAACCGTAAATATATAAATATCTACGATTTTTATGAATAACCTCCGGTGACATAAATAGACCCTACTCCGAGGGTAGTCCCAGAAATATCCGACCTAAGAAAGTAATCACAAACAAAAATTGCTTGATACCCTAGCAAGAACCGTCGAACTTCTCAAAATTTCAAATCTTTTACCTATGAATCGATATTTTCATCATTTTTTTGAACTAATAAAATATTTGAATTGGAAATATTTAGAGGAGAGCCTCTCAATTAAATTTTTATTGGGCTAAATCCGTCACTGCAATAATTTTATATTGACACAAATAATTCCTAACAAAAATGGGATTAAATATTATATTTTTCATATGAACGACGGTCACAAAATCTATATATTTCTAGAACGCAGGCGCGTGAATTTCCTGCCTAAACTAAATTTCTAGAGCTGTTAGAAGCGTGAGTTAGTTTAGTACAACATTGTCATCCAATGAATGAACAGACCTCTATAATGAGGCTATAATAAATAAATAAATAAGTGTAATTTGTTGTGTAAAAAGGCAAAGTGATTTTTTAATACTATATATTAATTTTTGATTAATGTATCTAAGATTAAATAGATCACAGCTAATGCGTGTAACATCTGAACATGCGATGAATAAAATGTAAGTTGGAAGTTTTTTTATTCACAATTTAGAATAAAAAAAAACAAATAAAATATGATAAATTTATTGCAACAAATTACCAAAATATAAACTTAACACAATAAGATAATAACAAAAATAAAACTAAATTAAACTAATCTTCTCAAGAAACATAAAGTAAAAATATTAGATAGGATGATGTAAATTGGCTCCTTGACAAATATTTCATATATAAAGGAACACATATGTCATATAAGTTGTTTAATAAATGTTTTTTTATAAAACTATTTTACTATACTTTATTATATATACGTTACTACTATACTTTTTATAACATCTTCAAATACAAAACTTATTTGACCTACAGTTTCCTTTAAAAAAAAACCTAACGCATTCTATCAATCAAAACGAACTAATAGCAAAATAGTGCCAAGTCTGTACTAAATTATTGAGATTATTTTGACCAAAAAAAAAAGAAAAGAAAATTAAATTAAAATAAACATTGAGCGGATTTCCCATCGGAAACCTTCTAATTACAAATATAAATTTAACCAAATAATAATTTGACAAGAACAACAAAGAAATATTAATTCTATAACGATTACTATGCAATTAAAGAAAATGTATTTTGTTTTAATTTCTAATAGGAAGGTCAAGGATCTTGTGTCTTTTTAGTCTGAAGGGAGTATCACTGTTATCTATGATAATACTAGTCTGTTGAGATGGTCCAGTCTGTTCTGGTATCACGCACTAAAATTGTATAATTCGTTCTACACATACAATGACATACAGTGGCAAAACTGTGTGGGAGTTTGCACAGATCGCAAATATAATAGCTACTCATTCTTTTATATATAGGTAGTAATTATGAATGCTGTAAAAATTATAAATTTTATAAAAGCTAATGCCCTTACTCAATATTATTTTCGGTTTTGTGTGAAGAAGTTGGCGTCCATTATAAGTCGCTCTTACTTCACACAGAAATTAGATAGTTCGTTTATTGGAATTGAAAGCAAAAGTGGAAATATTTCTAAATGAAAAAAAATCTGATTTAGCAATTTATTTCAACGACAAATAATGGATTGGCAGAAATCTTCTCCATTCTAAACCTTCTAAAATATCAATGCAAAGAAATCAACACAACATTTTTTTCATGCGAGATAAAATTCAAGCGACAAAGTGTTTTTAAATGTTTCCAAATTATTTTAAAAATATTGCAGATAACTGTGAACTACGTACAAAGAACGTATACATTATTTAATACAATATCATCTTCAAAAAATAATTGTTGTTTAGGGGTTTGTTGCGGACCACTGTTTGTTGACCACTGTTCTAAGACATATAATATATTGAGCGAAAAATAAAAACTATAGTCTCCATTTCATCTTTCTAATACATATTTTATCTCGAGTGATTGAAGATTATGAATAAATGGTAAGAGAGTAAGTACTGTGAAGAATTATCTGAATAAAATTGTAGTGGATGGTGACTACGCTCTGGAATAATACAATCGGGATTTTGATATAGTCGGGATATCGATTTCGCAAACGATTTGTGACAATTTAATGTACTGTATTGCGAATCACATAAAATGGGGTCTATATACCAAGACCGGCAACCTAAAGTCCGTCTATTGATATCTCGACGTTCGAAATCCCGACGTTCGATATCCCGACGTTCGATATCCCGACTATATCAAAATCTCGACTGTATCAGAATTTCGACAACCATAATTGCGACAAACATAATCCCGACTGTATTAAAATCCCGACATTCGATATCCCCACTATATCAAAATCTCGACTGTATCAGAATATCGACAACCATAATCGCGACTAACATATTCCCGACTATATCAAAATCTCGACTGTATCAGAATCTCGACAACCATAATCGCTACAAACATAATCCCGACTATATCAAAATCTCGACTGTATCAGAATCTCGACAACCATAATCGCGACAAACATAATCCCGACTATATCAAAATCTCGACTGTATCAGAATCTCGACAACCATAATTCCGACAAACATAATCCCGACTATATCAAAATCCCGACTGTATCAAAATCCCGACTATATCGAACATTTTTACAATAACATTTTTAAATTAATTCGGAGCGTAGTAACCTTGTGTTACACTTTTATTATTAATAACAATAAATTATTATTAATTAATTTGATTTTGTTGAATTATTCATAATAAATCTTAACATATTGTGTTATTCTTATTATTTATTATTAATAACAATTTAAAAATTACTACGGTCCGGAATAATTTAAAAATGTTATTGTTGACATTTTAGATATAGTCGGGATTTTGATACAATCGGAATTATGGTTGTCGGGATTTTGATACAGTCGGGATTATGGTTGTCGGGATTACGATACAGTCGGCATTTCAAACGTTGGGATTTCGAACGTCGTGAATTTGATTGACGGTATTTCGGTTGTCGGATTTGCAATTGCCACCGCATTAAATGACATGACATTTGAAAAGAGATAATATGATTTACTGCAGAATTCGTATGTAATGGATACGTGACATGTCTATTGCATGCAGGTCTCATTCATTACTATAATTGCATTATCTTCGATTCTAAGCAGTGTTGTACGGTAACCAGCAAACGTCAAAAATTAATATCACCAGCATCAAGAGAATGCATGCTTCGATTTCGTTCTTTTATTAATATCAATGACCGATGTAAAAAGTCGTGTCCATATAGTGTCGTGTATTCCGGGATGGAATATCTAAGGGCACTGGAATAATTTGTAGCTTTATCGATGTGGAGTCCTAGTGGGTTTTATGGTAAAGTCTAGTTAATAGTATTTATTTAACACTTAGATGATAGAGTTCTTAATCTAGCTTCCAGTTGCTAACAAGCATAGATTGCTGCTTAAGAGTTATACTAGAACTGATATAAGTTTAGCTATAACGTGGCTAAAACTATTACTAGGACCAGGACTAACTTAAAATAATAAATTTTCGTCTAAGAATTGATGGTCAAGAAATTGCCAGATGAACTTTTGATCACGATGAATGAATGCATTCAAATCATAAACATAATTAAATCGAGAGCCGTAACTTCGCGCATATTTGGTAAACTCAGTGCAGAAATGGGAGCCGAATATAAATCCTTATTATTTTATACTGAAGTTCGTTGACTGTCCTGAGGCAATTTGAAATCCTATTGCAACCATGCAATAAAATCTACGAAAGAACTGTCTCTGCAAATTCTTAAAAGGTCTTGACCAAGAACTTCGGTTTGCATTGTCAAATATTGAGCTAAATATAAAACTTTTGTGTTCATTGAAACATGCACAGGTATCACATTGAAATGAAAATTTATTGTAAATTTTGTGTATCAATTTAATATCTATATATTTTAATTTTTGGTTTGCTGCGGAATCCTTGGAACAACTTTGGTGTGCCGTGGGTGAGAATAGGTTGCGGAGCACTGTTTTAAAGGAATGGGCTAATTTGCACTGTCAAATACGTCTACCATAAAAATAAAGTATTGAAAAGGATCATAAATCTTACAATTATTTAGGGAGATTAATTGTGAGAGTGCATAGTTTTTATAGTTAACTGCCCGACATGTAACATAAACTTCCACTTATGAAACTGACATAACAAAATGTCCAATGAATAATGAATAAGAATGTACTTATTACACATAATACTTAGATATCAATAATTAATAATAAAGTGCTTGGACACAACAACACTTTTATTTATTTATAAATATTTCATTAAATGAGGTACTATACATTTTTATACGAAATAAAAAGAATAAAATGATTGATTCGTTATACGGTTTTTCGTTTTTCGGTCAACTTTTTGGGTGCGTATCTAGACCAGATACAAATTATGATATATTAACATAAAATTCACCCTGAGATAGACCAAAGTTTTGACTTTGGGCGTCCCGGGAACAATTCTGAAATGTTAAGGGCGCCGCTAATTTCCACGACAATATAATATATTCCATATTTATTTATCTGATCTGTTTAATTTTTATGATGTGCACTAATTTCATATTTTTTATTTTAATATATTGGTACTACGGAAGTCATTGTATTTTGTATTAATTTATTAATTTTGTTCAAATTCAACTGCGGTGAATAGGAAAGTGTTTACCCTTAATATCGTAGATTGACTTCAACCTTTTAGTTGTAGTCAATATTATCAATCTCAATGTCACAACATATTCTGTTTAATTCATATTAATATATTATAATTGGTTTTAAAGATATATAAACATTTTTAAATTTTAATGTTGTTTATATCTTCTATAGATATTTTTAGTTCTCTAACTGAATTTATAAAAATTAACATTGTAAAATAGCAAAAAATATAACCTCAAGTACATTCATTTTTTACTTTACGATTAATAATTTACTAATTAATATATTTTGAGGGCGAAAAGACCTCGGTAGATAGCCCTTTGGCCAACATGTCAATTATTATTTTTTTGTTAATTTATGTTAGAATTTATTTATTTATGTTTTCTTAGAGTTATTATTAATTAGTTGTTATCTATAGAATGTATTTTTTTTGTATATTGCAGACTGACCAATAAATTATTATTATTATATTTTGATTTTAATATCTAATGAAGGTTTTATGAAATTACGTAACCTCTATTCACAGCAAAGATTTACAAATAACAATAGCTGTCCGTCAAGAAATAAATTATAAACGTAAACTATGATTTTGGGTACAACTAGGAGTGCAAAAGCAAGAAGAAGAGTTTTAGGTTCGATCGCCTGCTACAAACATTTGCTTAATGAAAGAAAAATAAAGTGACAAATGACTAAGTGATTTTATCGCCAAAAAAATAAAAATATCAGAAGAGCCAGGACTTTCATCACAAAAATAAACTTAATATTTCTGTGTGCAAATGTTTGTGTTATATCAAAACATATATCATAATGCAAATGATTATAAAAACAACTTAAAATTAAAGTGAAATTTGTTTAATTTTGCTCGCGTGTTCCAGTTTCACCATTTGCTATGTGTTAAAATGACTTCATATGACGCAGTTTTGTTAAACGCTGTCTTCATTAACGCATATAAAGCACTAAATGAGGTCTTATTTGTTTCGTATTTGTTTTCATTGAATTATTCATTATAAACCTTAACAATAAAAAATATTCTAAAATAAAAGTAGATTATTAATTGTTATTATTTATTGTTATTAAAAATAAATTATTATTATTTAAGAGTCATAAATATGTTCTAAAATAAAATTGTCGTGGCCGACCAATTTATTAACATCTATTGTATAATTAATATGTATATTAGTTAGGTCTACCACTTTCCTCTTAATTATTACAAATCATATTTAACGTATATAGTTTATTTTATCACCACTCAACAGCCGTCTTCCGCACCTAAATATTTGGGTAGGATCAAAAAACGGTTTTATATTTCACAAGCTCAAACTGATTTCCTTACCTCCCACACAACCCCTTTTTGAAATGAACTAATTTTTGTATTATATAATTTAGTCTTAGCTAGAGGGTTGAACTAAGAGGGATTCTTAAGAGAGAGAGATAGTCCAAGGAAGAGCACTTATCTATGAGATCAACTATTGTACAGTTCACTTCTCAATAAAAACTCCGATGTGTATAATAAAGTTAATTAAGAATATTGCATTTAATTTTCATAAATCCCAATATTAGAATGGTGGCAGCGGTAATCGAACTCTCAGCGTGACCAAGCACCGTCGTAAGTCAACTTTAATAACCGGGATTGAAGCCAAATCATCAGGAATCAACTCCAGGTGACAGAGCGTGGTGTTACACAACCTTGGTCGAAGCCTACAACAAACGATTCAACCCAAGTTTCCGGTTCCTCCAAGTCTAATTGCAGCAGAGGGTAAACCAACTCCAGATATCTGTACGGACCAGAATTCGATGGCGTAAACCAACGGATGGGAAAACAAACAAACAAAAAACTATGTAAGTGGAATTTTTATTTCTAGTTATTGCAGTTGTGTATGGCCATCTTTTTTTAAATGAGAAAAATTTACTATAAAATCATAAAATTTTAAATTTGAAACGTAAAATAAAGTTAAATCTAGTTCAATTTATTTTATAATAAAAAAAAAATTTGGTCAGAATAAAAACTAAATTCAATTAAAATGGAAACTCAAAATCTTAAAATTTTCTTACAAAAACTTGCATTGGATAAAATTTTAAATCATCAATATAATGGAAATTTTGAAACGATAGATACATTTATAGAAGATTGAGAAAGACAAGTCAATTTTAAATCTAGAATAACAGCTTATTTTAAGTATTTGCTCAAGTTTTAGAGAAGAAGCAGACATTTTAGTTACAGGAAAAAAATATAAACCATAATTAAAGCAATTATTATAAAATAAATTTGGACCAGTGATAGATATTGCTCATTTGAATTTTCATATTATTACAGAATTTATAAAATTTCAGAAAATATTAAAAATACCATAAATCACACATATAATTCAGATAGACATGATGAATTACTAAAGTTAGAATTGTTAGAATATTTCAAATTAGGTCTTACACCTGAAATTAGGCAATTTGTTACAGACAAAAATCCAGACTCAATAGAAGATACATTAAAATTAGCCGAAAATAAAGAAAATTTAAAAAATAAACTCGCCAAGATCAATTATAATCAAGAATTTTTGAAAATATGTTTAACCAATGTAACACTAATTATGATTATAAGTTTAATCAATGTAACTCTAATTATGATCAGGAGGAATTAATTAATGAAAATCCAAATCAATTTCAAATAAACTGTATAAATATCGAAAGAAAAAATAAAAATGTAAAATGTTTTATATGTGGAAAAAATAATCATAAAACGAAAAGTTGTTATTTTAGATCAAATTATAAAAATGTATTGGGCAAAGATAAAGAAATACGTAATATAGATTGTAAATCAATTTTTCAAATTAGTGAAAAGCAAGAAAAAGATTTAGTTAAAGAAGAAAATCATAAAAATGCATTAGGCACACATAGAGAAAATTGCAATAGACATTGCAAACAAACATGTATTAAAGGTTAAAAATAAAAAGCTTTACATTATAAGTGATTTACTTACGGTATTAATAATTGCTCAAATGAGAGATAAAATATAATTGATATTATATTGCGTTGACTGCGGTACAAAGAAGTTATTGTTGTGCATGTTCGTTCTTGCTCTGCAGTGTTGGTATAAAAGCAGATGATGCTGATACCTCTACTCACGCTTATATAGAGGACAATGACGACAATTCTGATTCATACATTATTATATTAATTACAAATACTAAAGAATCTAATAAAAGAACATTAATTAGCATGAAAAAGTTTTATCTTGTCGTAATACAATCATTTATGCATTCCGTCTGGCTGTAATACATGTGGTGTATAAAATACACCGCGCGATTAGTATATATAAATTTTAGTGCGCGAGTATTTAAAAGTTCTAGCCCTTTGGTTACAATTGGTGACTAATAAAGATTTTTTATTTTATTAAAATAATTACTGTAATACTCACTTTTTTTTGCAATGAGATTTGTAGATGAAAATAAGACTATAAATGTTTCCAAAAAAAGATACCAGTGCAATGATAATATAGATGTAGACGAACATGTTGATATCATTGAATATGGTTGATAAATGCATGATTTTTTACTTGATTTTAATTCTTCTTTTAAAATATTAATAATTTATGTCTGAAAATAATAAATATTTGGATTATTTTAATGAAACTTTTAATTAATAATTCGTTTAAAAAGTTATCAAACACCAATCAATCAATAACAAATAGTTGTCACTTTTATTTTAGACACTTGAAATCACAATAATAAATAAGTTAGTAAATGACAATCGTTTAAATTTGGTTGGTATTATTAAAATTTCACGGATTCGCTACTGCCTGTTGCTAGCTGAGATGACTAACGAAATCTGTCGCGCCAGTGGCTAGCTGCACTTTTCGGAAGAAATATTTATGCGCTCGCGCCCTTATTCAATGGCCATTGTCCAATGGTCATATAGGTATTTTAATTACATTTAAACCGTCGGAAAAATATGTATCGATTTCTATGAAAAAGATCATGAAATCCATTTCTACACAGTGAAGACTTTCTTTTAAACAGAACATATTTTAATAATTGTAATAAATGTAAGATTATTCTAAAATCTGTATAAAAAAACATTTGTTTTAATTGAATTTTAAAATAATATGTAATACACAATTTGCAAAAATATTTTTTTATATGGAATATCTAGGTTCATCGTAACCTTAACAAATCTCCGCTGTGGAGGAGATGTATACGGGGTACTTTTGTTAGTTTCAGAATCGAGAGTGCGATTGATGGAACCAATTCGTCAATGGATATGTACCAAATTATCCGGAGCAAAACAGTTTTTCCGACCACCAATATATCAAGACACAGAGTCCGATTATTTTCTGTCGTTCAACATTAAACATTATTAGGAGCGCTCTACGATAATAACCCTGAAATAGCCAGTACCCGAACTTCAAACAGGGTGCGCACAGACTTCCCTTCAGCCGTTTACCGTTCGGAAACCCATGAATCAGGAAGTCAAGAAGCGGGTTTTTTAAAAATACCAATCTTTCACTTTCCCGTAAAAGAACGACATCAATACGTTTTTTTTTTAGTCACCGATACAAACAATCCTAAATAAAGTTGAGACAAATCCAACATACAATACATTTATGTACATTTTTATACAGCCAAATAAAGAACACTATTAAATCCAATCTAAATTATTTTATAACAATTTTTATATTATTGGAAAGTAAACTTCGGAACTCTTGTATTGTATGCAACCGTTATTATAATTATTATTGTTAATATAGTGCATTAACGAACTAGAGACATCCACGGTGGTTCTTAGTCACCTTATTGGGTCTATATCGAAATCCCGACTGTATCTAAATCCCGACTATATCGAAATCCTGACTGAATCGAGATCCCGAAAGTATTTTTTATTATTAAAATTTCTACAAATAACATTTTTAAATTTTTTCGGAGTGTATTCACCATCTACCATATTTTTTGGGTGCACCACCGACCTAACACAACCCCACTAATTCAATTCAATTCAATCCAGTTAATTCTATCTTTAAAAAGCTATATACGAAAGCACTGTATCAATAATGTCTTGAAATGATGTCAGAGATCGAACTTACCTTGCGAGATTTTTAGATCAATTACTTTAATATCTTGCATTGTTTGAAGTTAATTGATGAATTATGGAACTACACGAACAATTAATTCAGAATGGAATAAACTGTGGCAAGAGTGTGTGACAGAAAGAGACATCGATAATTTTCAAGAACAGCCTAACAGTTGATAAAATTGTAACGCATATTCATTAAAGATAGGTAGTGCAGATATAAAAGTATTGGTCGAGTAGCTATTTAGATTAATTATGTATTCTATGGACTGCAATTGTTCTTCTCTTACACTAGTTCTTTTTTCACGAAGTTCTCCAGTCTACGTCCCGCCGATCATACTGGAGGGACGAGAGTTTGAATGGGTTGGAGAAATTAGATCCCTGGGAGTGTGGCTGCAGCTCATCTTTTTAGGATGAATTTGCAGAACATGGAAACAGATGACAAACGTCTCATACGAAAGATTTAAACGTAGAGCGACCGATGAATCAGGCAACCCAATTTACTTGGCAACGAACACCATACTGGTCACATTTCGGGGTAAAGTTACCCCATACACGTACACGTACCATTCAGTGTCATGGGTCACAAAGAGAAATTTTGTAAAAATTGCCGTGGTGACCATTATACCACGGAGTTCAATAAAAAACTATCAGACAGTATTTGTCCGAAATACATTAAACAAAAAGACATAAAAGATACCATGATTAGACGCAACTACTCATATCAAGAAGCAGCGAGCCTTTATAAACCTACTACATTAAATTTCGTATATGATAGAGATTTTCATCTGCAAGAGAATCATCTGAACCTCAGAAACTAGCATTTATGACTAGGTCCGAGGAGGACATTAAATCGAACACGATTCATAAACTAATCGGTATCCTTCGGAAAGCTTTGGAGGACCAGGAGGTACCATCAGTATTCGATCACCCGGACTGCGCTTTAGCTGTCGACCACTGTCGACTCAATAATCACTTGAATAGATCTGCTCCAATCTAGGAGTAATAACTACGACTTTGACACCGCCGAATCACATAACTTTCTGACTTAAAAGTATAAGTATGATGTAGTTTATTTATTTTTTGAATTTATACATATTTGTCTATTCTTGTCTGTATATCTACTTATTGATACTTGTATCTTATAACAGCTCGTATAATATTTTACCTACCTGTCCGAGATCTTCCACATTGTGATAAGAATCGCTGGGCCCCGGTTAGTGAAGAGTTCCTATATTTTTTTTTGAGTTACATATATGTGTATTTAATGTTTAATCCTATTTAGTATTTAATACAGCATTGACTGACTACATTAACCCCGATGTGCGAGCTAAGTAACACACAAGAAACAGAGAAGAAGATATTCGTGTCGACAATATAGTTATTTAAGAAGCGCTCTTTTAGTCTTTGTAATAATATTGATCCTCTTCAGGGAGTTTAACTTATTAATATACGCGTTGACGATTTGGTCGTGTAATGTTACTGTCTTGTGTATTCTGCATTTGTCGAGAATTTTCTACAGCTCGCTCTTTTTGTTTATCAAGTGGTTTTATTTTGATATTCGGGATATTTTTATAGAAGAACAATCGTTTTTGAAATAGATATAAAATTTAACACTTAGTTGATAATATATGAGATCAACACTTGTATAGTTGACTTCTCAATAAAAAATATTGATGTGCATAATAAAACTACCTAAGAATATTGTATTTAATATTTATAAACCCCACTAAAATTCGCAATTTTTGTTTTTATTGTAATCTGATTCTACTTGTTTGTAATTTTTGCCTTAAATTTATATTTATTTTGATTGCTTTTATTAGTAAGAAACGAGAAAAATGGAACTGCTGTGTGTCCTACCTTGTAATGTAGAGTTTATCGACCACAAATTGAATTTCCTCTGTATTGTATTTATTTGCTTTTTCTGTTATTATGTCAGTTGGATTATTATCCAATTAATGTATTATAGTTATCTATATTTTCGCCTACTATCTACATACAAATTATACCATATGATAAATTTTTCTAATACTACTAGCATCAAATACACCAAAATTCAGAAAATAATGTCTAGAAATTAGTCTATGTTTCTATGATTAATTTGATTTCATAAAATAAATTATATACGAAAATACGTTAAAGGGTTTCATTATCATTTTCTTTTATTTACGACATGACAATAAATATACAACAAACACACAATATATTCCTTTAAGCCTAGATGTTTTCAATATCTGATAATAATGATACTGCACTTCCAAGGATTTATATGAGTGAAACATTTTTTGAGTGCATTGTTTTAGATATATTGCATTGAACCCACATTTATTAATATAAAACAGATCACAATAAAATTAAAAATGTTATATCTGTTAATGTGTTCCTTGATATTACATTGAAAATATAACTTATGAAATTAAATTACTTTGCATTGGGTGGGCGTTTGCAATTTTACCATCATTGCCATATATTACTAGCTAGTGTTGGTGGCGTGGCAGACGCCCCGTTGGAACCGTTTAAGTGTAAATTGCCAAACTGTTGCTGAAGATTCGATTGGCTGAAAAATGGATTGGGGGTTTGTTGAGAAAGCTGGGCATTTGCCCGAGGAAACTGATTCATCTGGAACTGGCTGCCCTGCATAGGCTGCTGATTATTAAATTGATTACCGAGTGCGTTGTTAGTTGACTGGCCTATTGTATTATACTGCATGGAAAATTGATTTGGGTATTGCTGTGGTTGATGATAAGCATTGAAAGCGACATTATTAAAGTTTGCCGGTGTCGCTTGGGTGAAATTGCCTGTTGCAGTTTGATTAAAATTTGATATGGCAGGAGCGAAACTGGTCATCTGTTGATAGTTAGTCGGAGGATTGTAGCTTCCTGCACCGCTAAAATTATGACTCGGTTGTTGGAAATTATTCGCTGGTTGAGTGAAATTATTTATAGGGGCACTGCCGTATAACGCTAAAATACTGTCCTTGGTTAACTTAACGTTGCCCTTTACAGTTGGTGTTGTCTGATTAAAGAAACTTTCCTCCTCGCTCTTAGCGGGATCGATGACCTTCTCATCCTCCTTCTTTTCGCTGGAAGCTTGTGCAACCGGAGCAGGCGCTGATAGAAAGTTACTGAAACTGTCATCTCCATTCTGCAAACCCAACAAATCGGCGTTTTGTTTGTTTTCCTGCTTTGGAGGAACGATTGGATTTATTCTGCCTGGCTTTGGGCTTGCAGTTTTAGGTTTTGGCAATTGCGGAACTTCCACCGCACCGTGTGACTTGTTCTCCATCACAGATGTTTTCTTCCTTTTCTGTCTCTCAATTTCTTCATCTATTTCTTTCTCCCAGTTCACCTCTGGCAATGATGGAGGCACCCATTCTCTAGCAATATACTTCTTGTGCTCATACTTAGCCCTGATGAACGTTTCCAGACTAGGATCATTTTGCGGTCGACGGAAACTGTCGGGTAAGTTTGCTTCATAGACAGCACGAGCCCTCGAGTTCCCCATTTGTTGTAAGGAGACGACTTGTTCTGGTGTCCATGAGTCTAGATTCACAGATTTGACTTTGGAAATGTGAACGCCCAAATTTCGATGGATACCAGCACATCGAATACAAAGGAAAACACCTAAATTCCAGGAAGACCATCTTGGTCCTGTAACCAAACACACACAAAATCAATTAAATTTTCACAATAAAACATGGAAAATAATAAGAAAGTTTCTGTTTACCACAATGGTCTCATTATACAATATGCAAAAAATATCATTAATATTGTATATCAAATAACATATTTCATTTAAATTTCGTACATTCAGTTAATTTTCTACTTTGAAATATTTTAAAATCTCAAATAAATAGTAATACGTAATAGTAAACGTATTACGTATTATTACATATCAAAAAATAAGTTTTTTATTGACAGTATTTTGATCAATTAACTTATACAACAAAATATTCCATATTTTTATTTATATACAGTGATAACGATTGGAATTAATTGCCATATTCATTCCATATGCAAATTCATTCCTTATTCAATTTCACTGAATAATATAAAACAGCGAAATAATAACATAAATAATACGAGATAAAAACAATAAATTGAAATAGATTTGTGATGTTTAATTTAGAGTCCAACAATGAAACCAACTATTATGCCAACATTCTAAGTAAGTAACATATGTACATGTTAGAATTATAAATCTTAAAACTATACAATACATAAACACATTAGGCTCTTTAACTACAGTGCCTAGAACCAACAGGAATTGTTAGGGCCTACTCAAATTTTTGAAGCACACATAAAAATATTGGAATTAGGACTCAAGAATACATATTTTGTTGTTAAGTATGAGATGCAGGGAGGGGTGGTAAATGCTCTGGGATCCACAACAACCTTAATTGAATACTGGTGTCATTAATAGCACGAGGATTGATAATTAATTCAATTTGTCAACTAAACACAAAGAAAATGTTTTTTTTTTATTGAAAGTCTTAATTTGACTAATCCACACAATTCACACAAATATTCAGATATAAATAGATAAAATTTCTCACATCCAAAAATAAAAGTAAATTTACAACAATGAACAATATTGATTGAATTATTGTTTTTACTGCAAACATTTTTGTCATATATTATTATAAGCAATTATGAAGAATATTATTTCTGAAGAATAAGTTAAGTGATTGAATCAATATTTGGAAAGTACACTTCTACTTTACTATGTAACAAAGTTGAATTAATGAATAATAATAATAAAGTTGCATATGTGGTTATGATAGTAAAGGTTGGTTCAATGGAAGAAAAAAAACTTAGATAATGATTACTTGTAGAAATGAATATAGGATGTTTAGAAGCATAGCCATTTTCAGTTACCCCAACAAGAGATGATGGGATGGTATATAGGTGAAAAGAAAGAAGCCTTTACCTTTAGAGTCACAGTCCACACAATACTTGTTATCCTCGTCCCTTAAAAGGGCATTCAGCACAGATTGGCATTTTTCTTGCAGTTGTTTTGCCTTCTCTTTTTCAGCCTTGGTAGTCATATCGAAGTCCAAATCTTCGTGCTATGGCTTTTTTCAAAATGTTAATTGTATGACAACAGGGGGTGGGCTGCCATTTATTTGACCGACCGAATGTAGGCACAAAACGTCATTGTGCTTGCTACGTGCGCAAGCCTTTGTTTTTTTCGATATGACATCCATCGCCATCTATATTAAACTTTGAAAAATACTACAAGAATAACATAAAATCCCAAACTTCAAGTAATATGTTTATTATTTATATATTGTGTAGTATACAGCTTACATTTACATCTAATTACCTTATAAAGGCATTTTACAATAATGTTTTGTAGTTTAAGCGTAGCTTTTAATCATATTTGGTTTAAATATTCAAAGAAAAATATTGAATAGAATGAAAATTAAACAATATCAAATAAATATAATTTTATGCAGTATATGAAAACATTGTTAAGAAATTAATTTAAAAGAAATAAATCAAAGCAAATTGTATAGAAAACTAATTGAAAAGTTAGATGATACAATTTTCAAAATGATATCTATATCATTTACTTCCCATTTGTACATTTAAAACATATATGTTACATAGGCACATTTTCGTAATTTTACTTTTATTAAAAATAAAATTTGAAATAAATTGGTCATATTTGTTTAGATTCTAAATATATATATATATATAACTATCTATCTACATATGGTACATTAAAACATTGTAAGTAGCATCTCATATCCTCCTCCTCTTTGTGCCACCCGAGGTTACAGTTAAAGGACTAGCTTTACCACTATTATTTGCATCTTCTGGCTTCAAACTGCCCCTAGTTGGACGTTTGGAAGGTCTTGGAGATTCATCAGATTTATTTCGCACAATTCTGGGTTCCTCTTTCAATTGAGAAGTCCTACCCTTAATTGGTTTTGGTTTTTCAGTTTCTTTCTTGATTTCCTTTTTTGCGATGAGCGTTTTAATATCTTTGCCATCTTTGCTGTCACGTCTCTGAATTTCTTTATTATTAGCCTTTGGAGTTTTTACTTCTTCTTTCTTAATCTCTTTCATCATTTTTGGTGTTTCTCTACCCTTCTGGTTGTTTTTTTTGTCATCAGCTTTTTCTTCTTTCTTCAGCTTCAGGGCACCAAACTCAGCCTCCGGCAAATTAAATTCTTTCTCATCATTGGGAAATGGCAATTGTTCACTTTCATCTAAAACCTGCAGATTGTACATGGTTTGTAAGTGGGACCAGATCTTTGTGGATTGTATATCTTTTTTGATATTCTCTGTAAGTTTGTCCCAAATGAAAGCCATTTGAAAGTACTTATTTACACCTAGAAAGTAACATAATCATTGAATGCACGCCAGAAAAATATGCTCTTGGATTTCAAGGCATTTGTTATTGTTGTTAGTGAACAAAATAGTAAACAGTAAAGGGAAAGTGAGGTTAGAATCGACCGAAATACAAACAGCTTACTCACCGACAGGTTTGTGACCGACCATGGACTCCAATAAATGGCTCTCATTCACAACGTTCCATTCGAAATCATCCATTTGAAGTTCTTTCAATTCTTCTGGCTTAAAACTTAGTACTTAAATAATTAATTGTTTGACAAGATGCAGAAATTATGTGAAGCTTAATGCAATTGTATGCAACCATATGCAACTCTTCATTGCTCTTCATTTTGTAGGTATTGCAGCCATCTTCAGATTTATAGTAACATTGATTTAATGTTTTTATAAACATTCTCGATTCTAATTGTGCTGATTTAAAAGAAAACTTTGAAATATTATTTAAGATCATAAAATATCTATAATTTAATATATACTTTTAAAATGCAATAAAATATTTGAAATTGCTAATAAAGTTGCATAAAAATATTATTATTAAATTATTATAATATTATAAATAGATTATTATAGATATTATAAATAGTCATAAATTCTAACAAATATATATGTTTAATAATGTTATAGGTTTTGGTTATATACAAAAATAAAATAAATAAAAAAATTTAATTTCATTTTAAAATATATTTTGCTCGTATTCAATATATCATTCATTATGGCACAGAATAGTAATAAAATAGTTGCTACATATAACAAAATTAAAAAAATTGTGGTTCTTGAGAATAAAGTGAAAAATTTGTACGTCACTGACTTGTATTAACAACACGAAACGTGGAGGATAATTGAATCCAGGAGCAGCTGTCAAGGTGCAAAAGATTCGTGATTTGTTTCATAGGTTTATGTTTGAAATTTTTTGGTTTCATTACAATACCAGTTTGACAAAACAATGGTTTTATTGGAAAATGATTCGGTAAGCTGAAATAATAATTCTCTTTCAATTCAGAAATAATCTTCATTCATGTATACATTAACCTAAAAACAAACTGATTCTTCTATTACAGTTTCTCACAGAGTTGACAAAGCTATTCCAAAAATCTAGACTGAATGGATCAGTGAGGATGACATTCAAGCGATGTGAGTAACATAAATTTAAGACACTTCAGATATCATTTGTGGTCTTTATGTTTTCAGATGATGGCAATGATAAACCAATTCCGAGAGAGGGTAAACCACCACTGCCAGAACCTAGTGAATACATGTGTCTAATAAGAGCACAATCTAGGTCTAAGAAAATTGCAACTGTCATTAACCAAAAGGACATCAACAAATTTCAAGTGGCCTACAGTAGTTTATTAAAGGGAAATTTGGATGGACTTAAGAAAGTGAAGAAGATCAAGACAAAAACAAAAGCTGAATAAGATTTGCATGTCAGTCAACTTCATAATTAATTAATTTTTGTGTTTAATTTCTACTGCTTGTTTTTCTTTACTTTATTATTACTTTTTTTTAAGTTAAGAGAATAAAGATGTTTATTTTATTTTTTCGATCCTTGTTGTCTTCAAATCATTTTGACTGAGGGCATGTCTTCTTCGAGTAGTGGACACAAAAGCCGCCACCTGATGGGGACGATCGCATCAAATCTGATGCAGTCGTTTGCACAACCTACCAGCATTTTGTTCGTTTTAAAACACTGGTCGCAGTTAATGATGCACATGTCTATGGCGAATTCCATTTCCGCCAACTCCGATGATGTTGGGTGACCGGTTGAGAATGCGAATATCATCATTGACAAAACGGCTATGATGGCTTTCACTTCTGGAACAACACATTATATTTTAGCATCAAACTCTCAGTTAAACTTTCTACTATATATGAAATGTACACAATTACTAAAATATACAAATTTAATTATAAACCTAATGTTTGTTTTGTAATAATATAAATTATTATTTATTTGATAAACTTTATTGAAAAGCAGCAAAATGATTAATGACGCGTAGAAATTGTAGATTTGTTCTTAGAGTGCCCATTTGAGCGCACACAGGTCGGTATACTTAACTATACCATATTTAGAACAAAATTGTATTGAAATATTTGATTAAACGTGATTCCAAACATTATTTACAATACAATTATATTTCATAATCAAACATTGATTACCATTATATACTATGCGAGATTGCTACATTTCAAAATTTCTACAAATTTATTATTATTTGTAAACATGTTGATGCTTTGTGGTTGATGTGCTGCTTGCGATTTTAAATAAATCTCGACCCATAATTTATGAAGTCCGCCAGTTGAACAGAGCAGGATTAAATTTCCAAATGTTCACTGGTCAAAGCGGAAGTTTCATACCAAAAAGGACATGTAAAACAGCAAATCCGTCCAAAGGTGGTTTGAAATGATGCTAACCGCATAATGCAATTTACTATTTAATATTTCATTCGGCGGTTGCCTCCCACGCGATTTTCTGCGTGCTACCCATTTTACAATCTGTTGGAGGCAGAGCACCGCTAAATGTTTTATAATTGCTGCCGAAATGAATATCCTATGGACAATTCCATTAAAACCAAATTTATACAATTAAGAACGAATAAAACACAAATTTCAAAAACCGCATTTCACAGCACAGCATGGGCTTTCAAATACTTTTCAATTAGAGCCTTCACACTTTATTACTTATAATAATCTGATTTTCATTTCGTCACTCTTAAAAAGATCTTATACTACAAAATATTTTTGAGAAATTTTTACTTACTATCGCAACAGTTATTAACATTACACAGTTATTAATTAAAATACAATTGTCATATTTTTTTTTAGTTTAAAAATATAAATACTACTCTATACACAAATACAAACTATTTATTTAATTTAAAGTAACTTCAATTAAAATTGAAACGAAATAAGAATAAATTGTTATTTACCCATGCTTGCTTCTTGTTAGCTTTATGGTACAAAAGTCGTGTTATGAACAATGGTTAGAACGCTGTCAGCTTGCAAACACATTCCTGGTGCCTTTTATCCCAGACCAGAACATAAAAATATGATACACCTGCTGATAGGACTAATTCTTCCACGATACTTAAATGGCCCTAAATCATCGGAAACGTTAGCTAATTATAATACACTATGTATACTTTCGATTTTTCATGGTTCTTCAGATACTCGATTCAGTTAATTAAAATGCGTATAAAATATGTTATTAAAATGTATATTGTATAATACAAAAATCGAATATTGAAATTTGTATAATTATATCAAATATTATCAATTTCATATATGTATACTAATATTTATAAACTTATAATTAATATAATTAATTAAATATTTAGATATTTACTGGAAAGATATTCTTAAATAATATTAATATTATTGCAAGAATAAGAGAATGAAATAAATAATTATATCCAGAGCGGAAAGACTCTTGATCAATAGTTCTTTGAAATAGTAAAATTTACGAAAATTGTTTCATTTAGAAATCGATCAAAATTGCGTTGCCAGGCGTCTGTTTACATAAAAGTAAACAAGTGTGCGTTGCGCGTCAAAGCTGGCATATATAAATTATAATATTTACTGGTGATTACGCAAATTTTGTGCTGAGAAGAAGTCATGGGAGATGATAAGAAAGCTGCTAAGAGCGATGATAAAAAGGAAGATGAGGATGAGAGGTTGGATTACATACTGACTTATCTTACGAAGACGTTGCGCTTGAAACAGGACAAATGGAACAAAATGATAGCCACTGATGAGTATAAAGTAAACAATTATAGATATACCAGTTAGAATTGAGATATGATTTATAAATTTTTATGTATATTTTTAACAGTCGGTGGTTATGAATTTCCTAAATAAATGGCAAATGATGCTGATTTTGAGAATTGCTACTTCAGGATTACTAGTTTCCGCAACCGAATTCCCCAATTCGCAACGCAACAAATTTACGTATTTTATCAAGAAAAGCGAAACTCATCTCGACATGGATAATATTAAAGAAGAACTTATAATGGGCGAGTTCTCTTATAAACCCATCGAAGATTTATCCATACTTGCTGAGGAGATCTTTACTCCTATACTCACCAATTACAACAATTCTAGAGGATGGCCAAATGTTCTTTATACAGATGTAAAGAAGCAAATTGTTGCATTCAACAGTACACTATATCAGGTAAAATATTAATTATTATTCTATTGAATCTCTATATTATTGCATTAAATTACAGATTAAAGGATCTTTGAAAGGCGTGACATTGTTACCCATGCCATCAGATATAGAACACATCTTTGAAGCTGAGGAGCGTTATAGACAAGGCGAGGTTTATGATTCCGACTTGGTTCTCAAGGCCTCGGCTGAAGCCGCTGTTATACGATGGTCTAATATAATAAGTGACATTCTTAAGCAAACTTCAATGGTGTCATTTGCTGGAGGTGCTCATCCAGGGCCTAGCAAAGAAGTTCAGTTTTGGTTGTCAAGATTAAAGAATTTGGAAGGTATCTATAATCAACTCAGAGATCCGAGGGTTAAAAAGTTGGTCATGTATTTGGAAATGACAGACAGCAGCTATATGACATGTTTCAAAGATATATTTAAGTGCGTCGTGGCTGGAATTATTGAGTCGCGAGACATTTCCTTATATTTCATGCCAATGAAGCAGCACTTTGAGCGTTTTGAGGGCGACGAATTTATTGATAATTCAGATTATATTAAGCCATTTCTACATTGCATTGGATTATTTTGGGGAAACTGTCGGTATTATTGTAACAGCGGAAAGATAGTACTGCTTTTGCAACAAGTCGCAAATTCTCTTATTGATGCGGTCACTAGATCGATAGAACCAAGTTCGATTTTCCAAGGGGACACCGAAGAGATCCATAAGAAGTTTATTATATGTTTAGAACTTTTAGACAAATTTGAGAAGAATTTTGAGATCGTCAGGAATAATTTAGAACAGTACTTTCCAGCAGAGGTCACTCCCGTCCCTTGGACGTTTCATTCTCGGAATGTCTTTCAAAGATTGTACGATTTTAAAGCCAGACTTAAATTGGTTGATGGAATTTTAGCTACGGCTTTGGAGTATTTTAAATTGGAAAAGGTGGAAATTGGCGGTCTTAAAGGCAGAATTATTTCACAGAAATGTGTTGAGTTGTTTGAAGAATTTAACAAAGCCTATAGTAAATTTCAAAATATTCAATATGATATATTAGATATTGAGGACGAAAATATATATAAGCATGAAGGAAAATTTGCAAAGAAGTGCTTCGATTACGATATGCGTCTAGCAGCAATCTTTTGTCAGGGATTTGATGAATGCAATGATTTGGAGGGTATGTGTAAATTGGTGAACATAATTGGTAATCTTATTGAGAGGACAATCATTTACACTGAGTTAAAGCCAAAGATTGATCGATTAGTAGAACTTTTATCAGTTGAATTGGATACTGTCAAAGCACTTTACGATGAAGGAATAAAGCACGGCGTTCCAACAAATAATTATTTTCCTCCAGTATCTGGAAAAATGTGGTGGCTTCATAAATTAAGATCTCGCATTACATTTCAAACGGAAATGTATAAATCAGTTAATCATCCAACCATAAAAAATGAAGACTCATTATATAACCTGGAGAAATACGATCAACTAATAGATATAATTGTTAGTGATGAGAAGAAGACGTTCGAAGATTGGGCTAAAACGATACCACAGATTATTGCAAAGAATTTGTCCAAAATGCAGTTACTAAGAAGCAACAATGATATGCTTATAGAATTGAACTTTGACGCCGAGTTGGAGTGTGCCCTTAGGGAAATCAAATATATTAAGTTATTGGGAAAGGAGGAAGATCTTCCGGAAAGTGCAAAAGGTCTCTTCGATCGCAACGAGGAGTTGGTGAAAGCTGTTCAAAATCTTATGAGAACAGTCGAGTGGTATAATCACTTGAAGCAAAAAACCTTGAGTGTAGAATTTGCAATGATACAACCAGAAATCGAAGAAATAGATGAACTACTGGAGCAAGCGATTACGGCATTAACATGGGAAACAGACAGTTAGTTTATATGTCACATGCCGTACCAAATATTTAATATTATTTTTCTTTTAGATTTTGAACAGATCAACGAAATGCACGTCAGGTTGCATGAGTTATATCTTCGGGTGAGTCAAGCACAAAACAACATTAGTAATTTCTTTGAGGAAGCGGATATGTGGGCACTACAACCAATATTTGGAAGGAAAGACGACAAAGATGATGAACTTATTGGCTTAGATAATAGGTTAGATCGAATTACCAAGAAATACGAGAAGGTGAAAAATTCATCTGATGAAATAATATTAATTTTAAAAGAAAATTATTACCTATATCATGATATCCCATTACCAAAAATAGAGGAAGATGAAGTGCCTGAAGAAGAACATGTAATCCATGAAGGAGATGCAATTCAAGGAGAAAGCACAGCCGAGATGCCAGTTGATGTTGCTATTGACGCACAAGAACCAGTAGTTGAAGAAACTCCAGAAGACCCTTATGATACAGCTTTGGAAGATGAGAAATGGATAGATTATCTCAATTATTTAGATGACTTGATCTTGAAAAAGTTACTAGAAGCCGCTACAGTGAGTATGCACTTCTTCACTTACGAAATGAACGAGAATGGCGAAAAGTATCCAGTATTTGAAATCACGATCGAGTTAAGAGATCCAAATATCTATTCTGATCCATCATTTGATATGGAACAGGACAATAATTTTCCACGCTTTCTTAATGGTCTTCTGATAGAGATTACTCAAATGGGAGAGTACTTTGTACGTATTTTATTGGAAAAGGGAGAGAATTACCTACAAGACGTGATACATGACAACTACATTCAAGACATACAAAATGATATATTGGCCAAGGCAAATGCAGCAGTCCAAGAAGCAGTTACCTATTTAGAGGAGTTCGAAGAATACGAGTATCTTTGGTTGGATAGTCGTCAAGAATTCTTGAGGCAGTTTCTTCTGTATGGTAAAGTTTTAACGCCAGAAGAAATAGTGTTATCACGGAATGAAGAAGGGATCAAGGAGACGCCACCAACGATTAAACAATTTAAAGAACAGATCGATACTTATGAAGAATTAAAGATCAAGATTGAGGCTATCCCATATGAAAAGAAAATTTTGGGTTGGTTGAGATTGGATATAAAACCGCTTAGGCAGAGTATATTGAATATGGCATGTAAGTGGAGTCATATGTTTAAACAACATTTGATGGATCATGTATTAAACAGTATTGAAGAGCTAGAGAATTTTATTATTGAATCTATTGAGGCGATGCAAAAGCCTCTTGCAGACGATGACTATGATGGTCTCATAACAATTATGGGATATTTGTTTAAGGTAAAAGATCGTCAGATGGCTACAGACTATATGTTTGATCCATTGAAGGAGATCATGAATCTTTTGGGTGAATATGGTGTTGAATTTACAGAAGAGACTCATGTACAACTCCAGGAGCTACCTGATAAATGGAATAACTGCAAAAAAGTGGCGCTCACTACTAAACAAGCTATTGCACCTATGCAAGCTAACCAAGTTAATGCTATAAGGAAGAGATTGGCATTGTTCGACATCAGACAATCTATGTACAGAGACAACTTTAAGAAAAGTTCAATATTCAAGTTTACCTGTAAAGATGTATATAAAACATTGGACAAAATTCATCGAGAGGTTAAAGAGCTAGAAACTGACATGGATAAATTGGTTGATCAAGGAAATTTGTTTGAGCTTCAAATACCAGAGTTCAAACCTATTAAGACTGTACGAAAGGAAGTAAAAATGGTAAAACAATTATGGGATTTTGTGAATATTGTCAATTCAAATATTGACGAGTGGAAGTACACACCTTGGCGTAAGATAGACGTTGAAGGTATGGAAATGGAATGTAAGAAGTTTGCAAAGGAGTTACGAGCAATGGATAAAGAGCTAAGGACATGGGATGTATACAACCAAACTGAGGCAACAATTAAAAATCTCTTGACGTCATTGAGAGCAGTTACAGAGTTACAGAATCCAGCCATTCGAGATAGACATTGGAAACAGCTGATGCAAGCAACCAAGGTATGTCATTCTTATATTTGTCATTATTTAAAAATTATAAAATATAACAAAATATTTAACAAAAATTTCACGCAACAGATACCAGGAATAGAATTACTATACTCAGTGAGTACACAAACAAGTCTTTAAAGTGATTGAACAAATAAAACTTCTTATTTCAGTCTTCAATACATTATCTATCTTTATTACATATAATATGTCTGCACAAAAGTAACCATAACCATCATTTCCTATTACTATTATAATCATTGGTTATCTTTAGGTGAAATTCGTGATGGACGAAGGAACAACTCTAAATGATTTGCTTGCGCTTAACTTACACGAGTATGAAGACGAGGTGAAGAATATTGTTGATAAATCTGTTAAAGAGATGGCAATGGAAAAAGTCCTGAAAGAGTTAAATGTGACATGGTCCACCATGAATTTCGAAAACGATATGCACGAACGAACAAAATTGAATTTATTGCGTGCATCTGAGGAGCTTATAGAAACTTTAGAAGATAACCAAGTACAGCTTCAAAATATGATGACATCCAAGTTCATAGACTTCTTTCTCGAAGAAGTTTCAGATTGGCAAAAGAAATTGTCGAATGCAGATCAAGTGATACAGGCATATTTTGAAGTGCAACGCAAATGGTGTTATTTAGAGAGCATTTTTATTGGATCAGAGGACATTCGTAATCAATTGCCAGAAGATTCAAAGAGATTCGATAGAATCGATAAAGATTTTAAAGATGTTTTGAATGAAATGCAGAAGACACCAAATGTAGTGAAAGCAACAAACAAACCAGGATTGTACGAAAGATTAGACGGCATTCTTGGGGAGTTGATGCTTTGTGAGAAGGCATTAAATGATTACTTGGAAACAAAGAGGTTAGCATTTCCACGTTTTTACTTTGTTTCCTCCGCCGATCTTTTGGATATATTATCGAATGGTAATCAGCCGGACATGGTTCAGAGACACTTGACTAAACTTTTTGATTCTCTGGCAAAATTAAGATTTGAACAGGAGGGTGGAAAGAATAGCAAAAAAGCAAAAGCAATGGTTTCTAAAGAGAATGAAGAGGTTGTAACGTTTGTGGGCATTTGTGATTGTACGGGAAAAGTTGAGGTCTGGTTGAATAGAGTCATTGAAATTATGCGAAAAACACTTCATAAACTGTTTGGAGAAGCTATAAGCACATATGATGAAAAACCAAGGGAAGTGTGGATTTTTGATTATCCAGCTCAGCCGGCTTTATGCGGAACGCAAATTTGGTGGACTTCTGAAGTGAATATGGCCTTTGCCAGGCTTGAGGAAGGTTATGAAAATTCGTTAAAAGATTATCAAAAGAAGCAAATAGCCCAATTGAATGCACTGATTGTCTTGCTGCTCGGTGACTTGTCTGCAGGTGATCGTCAAAAGATCATGACAATATGTACAATTGACGTGCATTCGCGAGATGTAGTTGCTAAAATGATAGTAGTTAAAGTTGAAAATTCTCAGGCATTTCAATGGCAGAGTCAGTTACGACACAGATGGGACGTAAAGGTGAAAGACTGTTTTGCCAATATATGCGATGCACAGTTTAGATATCAATACGAGTATCTAGGGAATACGCCGCGTCTTGTTATTACACCCTTAACCGATCGATGTTATATAACATTGACTCAGAGTCTGCATTTAATTATGGGTGGGGCACCAGCTGGGCCTGCAGGAACAGGAAAAACTGAAACTACTAAAGATTTGGGCAAAGCCTTAGGAATTATGGTCTACGTGTTCAATTGTTCAGAGCAGATGGATTATAAATCCGTAGGCAATATTTATAAAGGCTTAGCCCAGACTGGAACTTGGGGGTGTTTTGATGAGTTCAATCGAATATCTGTTGAAGTATTATCCGTCGTAGCGGTTCAAGTTAAAACCATTCAAGATGCAATCAAGGATAAGAAAACTCGTTTTAATTTCTTGGGAGAGGATATTGCTCTAATACCAACGGTAATATAACGCAGCTAATAATCGTAGAATATTAATTTTATATTATTTTCAGGTCGGTATTTTTATCACAATGAATCCGGGATATGCAGGACGTACCGAGTTACCTGAGAATCTGAAAGCCCTCTTCAGACCTTGTGCCATGGTTGTGCCCGATTTTGAGTTAATTTGTGAAATTATGTTGGTTGCTGAAGGTTTTCAAGAAGCACGACTTTTGGCTAGGAAATTCATAACATTGTACACGTTATGCAAAGAATTATTAAGCAAGCAAGATCATTATGATTGGGGATTGAGAGCTATTAAGTCTGTGTTGGTAGTTGCCGGATCACTAAAACGTGGCGACCGTCAACGTCCGGAAGATCAAGTATTGATGAGAGCTTTACGAGATTTCAACATACCTAAGATTGTTACGGATGATGTGCCAGTGTTTATGGGTTTAATCGGTGATTTATTTCCGGCTCTGGATGTGCCACGGAAGAGAAATCTGGAGTTTGAAGTTTTAATCAAAAGATCAGCAATTGATATGAAGTTGCAGCCTGAGGATGGCTTTGTTCTTAAAATTGTCCAATTGGAAGAATTATTTGCTGTGAGACATTCTGTGTTTATCATTGGTTTTGCTGGAACAGGAAAGTCAATGGTCTGGAAAACACTTAATAAAACGTATTTTAATATGAAAAGACGACCAGTGTACAATGATTTAAATCCAAAGGCAGTAACTAATGATGAACTATTTGGTGTTATTAACCCATCTACACGCGAGTGGAGAGATGGATTATTTTCTGTAATAATGCGTGAGCAGGCCAATTTAACAGGAGATGGTCCTAAATGGATTGTACTAGATGGTGATATTGATCCAATGTGGATCGAATCTCTAAATACCCTGATGGATGATAACAAAGTATTAACTTTAGCTAGCAATGAACGTATAGCACTTACAACCCATATGAGACTATTATTTGAAATTGCGAATCTTCGTACAGCCACACCAGCCACTGTATCTAGGGCGGGTATTCTTTACATTAATCCTGCAGATTTGGGCTGGAATCCGTATGTATCATCTTGGATTGATACAAGAACACAACAAAGTGAAAAGGCAAATTTATCATTGTTGTTTGATAAGTACGTACCACCATGCCTTGAAGCTATGCGAATCCGTTTCAAGAAAATAACTCCTATTTGTGAAATTGCTCATATTTCCATGCTTTGTTATTTATTGGATTGTTTTTTAACACCTCAGAATGTCCCATTAGATTGCCCTAAGGATTGGTATGAAATATATTTTGTTTTTTCGATCGTTTGGGCGTTTGGTTCGGCATTATTTCAAGATCAAATTATTGATTGGAGGAATGAGTTTAGCAAATGGTTTACTAATGAATTTAAAGCAGTGAAGTTTCCTACTGCTGGTACCGTTTTTCATTACTATATTGACGAAGAAACAAAACAATTCTTACCTTGGGAAGATTTGACTAGAGATTTTGAATTGGATGCAGATATTCCCCTTCAAGCAACTCTGGTAAACACTGATGAAACTACTAGAGTAAGATTTTTTGTAGACCATCTTATGGCAAAGAAACTCCCTGTGATGTTAGTAGGAGGTGCAGGTTGCGGAAAATCTGTAATAATCCAAGAAAAATTAGATGAGCTATCAGACCAGTATTTAGTTACTAATGTACCGTTTAATTTTTATACCACTTCGGAGATGTTGCAGAAGATTCTAGAAAAACCATTGGAGAAAAAAGCTGGAAGGGTTTATGGTCCACCCGGTAGTAAGCAGATGATTTATTTCATAGATGATATGAATATGCCTGAGGTAGACAAGTACTTCACTGTGCAGCCACATACGTTGCTTAGACAACATTTGGATTATCAGCATTGGTACGATCGTCAAAAATTGACGCTTAAAGACATACAAAATATCCAATATGTATCATGTATGAATCCTACTGCAGGATCTTTTACTATTGATCCAAGACTTCAACGGCATTTCTGTGTATTTGCAATGAGTTTTCCATCAGTGGAAGCACTATATGTGATTTACAATTCTATTCTGTCTCAGCATATGCTTATACCAGGAAACAAATTTTCCCCAAATTTGCAGAAAGGGTGTCCATCTATTGTTGCAGCAGCTTTACAGCTTCATCAGAGAATATCTATGACGTTCTTACCAACTGCGGTCAAATTTCATTACATATTTAATTTGCGTGACTTATCTAACATCTTCCAGGGAATGCTCTTTGCGACAGGCGATGCCATCAACAATCAGACAAGTCTTATAAGGCTATGGATGCACGAATCAATTCGAGTATATGGAGATAAATTCACCGAAACCAAAGATAACGATACGTTCAAAAAGTTGATCACAGAGATTGTGAAAAAGGGTTTTGAGGAAATAAATGAAAACGATGTATTTGAAACACCATTGATATTTTGCCACTTTGCTGAAGGAATAGGTGATCCTAAATATCATCAGATTTTAGATTATTCGCATTTGAATAAGTTGCTATTAGAAGCTCTAGCTAGTTATAACGATTTGGTAGCGGCAATGAACTTAGTATTATTTGAAGATGCTATGAACCATATCTGTAGAATAAATCGAATTATGGAAGCACCAAGAGGTAACGCTTTGTTAGTTGGTGTTGGTGGTTCTGGAAAACAATCTCTGACACGTTTGGCAGCGTTTATTTCATCCCTAGAAGTCTTCCAAATTCAATTAAAGAAGGGTTATTCCATGAATGACATGAAGGCAGATATAGCAACAATATATATTAAAGCTGGTCTAAAAAATGTTAGTACCGCATTCCTAATGACCGATGCTCAAGTACCTGAAGAACAGTTTTTGGTACTGATTAATGACATGTTAGCCTCTGGTGAGATCCCTGAGCTTTTACAAGATGAAGATATTGAGAATATTATCAGCATGATGCGTGGCGAAGTGAAGAATATAGGATTGGAAGATTCTAGGGAAAACTGTTGGAAGTTTTATATTAATAAAGTAAGGAAATTAATCAAAGTTATTCTGTGCTTCTCTCCAGTTGGTTCAACACTGAGGGTGAGATCACGCAAATTCCCAGCTGTTGTCAATTGTACCGCCATCAATTGGTTCCACGAATGGCCAAAGGAGGCTCTCGAGAATGTCTCTAAGCGTTTCTTGTCTGAAATTGAAGTGCTTCCTAAAGAATTGGTTAATTCTGTATCTCTTTTTATGTCATACGTACACACATCGGTGAATGAAATGTCCGAAGTGTATTTAACGAATGATAAGCGTTATAACTATACTACACCAAAGTCATTTCTTGAGCAAATTGCATTATATTCAAAACTTTTATATGAAAAAACTGGAAACGTTGATTATAGCATTTCACGCTTAGAAATGGGTTTGTTAAAGTTAGTATCTACTTCTCAAGAAGTGGATGGTCTTCAAGAACAACTTTCCGTACAAGAGGTGGAATTGGCAAATAAAAACGCACAAGCAGATAAGCTCATAAAAATTCTTGGTACAGAAAATGAGAAAGTGGCCAAGGAACAAGTTATCGCATCTGAGGAGGAGGCTAAAGTCACAGTAATCCAAGAAGATGTTTCTGTTAAAGCGAAAGTATGTGCAGAGGATCTGCAAAAAGCTGAACCTGCTCTCCTAGCAGCACAGGAGGCACTTAATACGCTCAATAAGAATAACCTGACAGAATTAAAATCTTTTGGCAGTCCACCTGAAGCTGTTGTCAACGTAATTGCAGCTGTATTAGTTCTTTTCTGTAAAGGAAAAGTACCCAAAGATCGCAGCTGGAAGGCAGGAAAGATGTTAATGAATCGCGTGGACAAGTTTCTCGAAGATTTACTTACTTATGATAAGGAAAATATCCATCCAGAAATCGTTAAAGCGATTCAGCCATATGTGAAAGATCCAGAATTTGATCCCAAGAAAATTGTGTCTAAGTCAACTGCGGCAGCTGGTCTTTGCGCATGGGTAATTAATATTATGAGATTTTATGATGTATATTTGGTAGTCGCACCTAAGAGGCGAGCTCTGCAAGAAGCAGAGGATGATTTGAATAACGCGAGGACTCGATTGAAGGAATTAAACGAAAAATTGAAATTCTTAGAAAATCAGCTTGCTACATTGAGATCAGAATTTGAACAAGCTACAGACGATAAATTAAAATGTCAAGCAGAAGCTGCTGCAACGGCTAAAAGTATCGATTTGGCCAATCGACTGGTGAATGGTCTTGCTTCGGAGAATGTTCGCTGGAGACAATCTGTTGTAAATTTTAAAGGACAGTTTATAACTTTACCAGGTGATGCACTTCTAATCACTGCATTCATCTCATACGTAGGTTGTTTTACACGTCGATATCGTATTGAACTGCTGAATAAGCATTGGATGCCTTTTGTAAAAAAGTTAACTTCTCCAATACCAATGTCAGATGTTTGTGATCCCTTGAGTTTGCTCACAGATGATGCAATGATTGCCAAATGGAACAATGAGGGATTACCCACAGACCGTATGTCTGCAGAAAATGCTACCATTTTAACTAACACCGCCAGATGGCCACTGATGATTGATCCGCAATTACAAGGTATCAAATGGATTAAAACAAAATATGGTGATCAATTAACTGTTATCAGATTGACGATGCGAAATTATCTTGATACTATTGAACGTTGTATTTCCAACGGTAACGTAATTCTTTTGGAGAACATTGGAGAAACAATTGACGCTGTCCTCGATCCTATTCTAGGCCGTGTGCTCGTCAAGAAGGGAAAATGTATCAGGATTGGTGATCATGAAATTGATTTTGATCCAAATTTCAAGCTCATTATACACACAAAACTGGCAAATCCTCATTACAAGCCTGAGATACAAGCACAAACGACTCTAATAAACTTTACTGTAACACGAGATGGTCTTGAAGAACAGTTATTAGCAGAGGTCGTGAAGGCTGAAAGACCTGATTTAGAGTCATTAAAATCAAATTTAACGAAACAACAAAACGATTACAAGATCATTTTGAAAACTTGCGAAGATAATCTTTTGGAAAGACTGTCATCGGCGTCAGGGAATATTCTAGGAGATGAAGCACTCGTCATAAATCTAGAGACTACCAAGAAAATGTCTGCAGATATCCAAATTAAAGCAGCCGAATCCAAAGTGACTTCGGTAAAAATAGATGAAGCTAGAGAGCAGTATCGACCAGCAGCAGCTAGAGCATCATTGCTCTATTTTATACTAAATGACCTAAATCGAATCAATGCCATATATCAGTTTTCATTAAAGGCTTTTACAGTAGTTTTCAAATATGCTTTGTCAGTTGCCGAAGAAGCTGAGAAATTGAAAGACCGTCTTCTAAACTTATTAGATAGCATCACATTTTCTGTCTTTATGTATACCAGCCGTGGACTTTTTGAGTGTGATAAACTCATATTTATGGCTCAGATGGCTTTTCAAATTCTACTGCATAGTGAGGAAATAAATGCCGGCGAACTAGATTTTTTACTGAGATTCCCAGCAATGCCCAATTTAACATCGCCTTTGGATTTTCTGAGTAACGTCTCATGGGGCGGTATAAAATCTTTATCGCAGCTTGATGAATTTCGTGGCTTGGATAAAGATCTTGAAGGATCATCAAAACGTTGGCGCAAGCTAGTGGATAGTGAGTGTCCAGAAAAGGAGAAGCTACCAGGAGAGTGGAAGAACAAGTCTTCCCTACAGAAATTGATAATGATGAGGGCATTCCGACCCGATCGCATGACGTACGCAGTTCGCGGTTTCATTGAAGAAAAACTGGGCCAAAAGTTTATTACAGCCAGAACCGTTTCGTTTGAAAAATCTTACGAGGAGACTAGCAATGAAACGCCAACATTCTTTATTCTATCGCCTGGAGTGAATCCGCTTAAGGATGTAGAAAAGATGGGAAAGAAGTTGGGATTTACGTTTGACAGTGGAAATTTCCATAGCGTATCTTTAGGACAAGGACAAGAAGTTGTTGCCGAAGCGGCGATGGATATAGCTGCTGAAGAAGGACATTGGGTTATTTTACAAAATATTCACTTGGTGTCAAAGTGGTTACCCATGTTAGAGAAAAAGATGGAACAGAATACAGAACAATCACACCATAATTACAGATTATATTTAAGTGCTGAAGCTGCAGCCGACCCATCTGCTAATGTTCTACCGCAGGGAATTCTAGAATCGGCAATCAAGATCACTAATGAACCTCCTACAGGTATGCACGCTAATCTGCATAAAGCGTTGGATAACTTTAATCAGGAAACGTTGGAGTTATGCTCAAAAGAAGCTGAGTTTAAGGCAATACTATTCTCGCTGTGCTATTTCCATGCTGTCGTTGCGGAGCGCCGTAAATTTGGGCCTCAGGGTTGGAACAGAAATTATCCATTCAACATGGGCGATCTGACGATAAGCGTGAACGTACTGTACAACTACCTGGAGAATAATAATAAGGTGCCTTGGGAGGATCTCCGCTACTTATTTGGAGAAATTATGTACGGTGGACACATTACTGACGATTGGGACCGGAGGCTATGTAGAAATTATCTGCTTGAATATATGCAACCGTTGCTTGTAGAGGGTGAACTGTATTATGCACCAGGATTTCTTGCACCACCAAATACAGATTACATCGGTTATCATCGACATATTGATGAAAGATTGCCACCGGAATCTCCATATTTATATGGACTACATCCAAATGCAGAAATTGGGTTTTTGACTAATACTTCAGAGATTCTCTTCAAAACGATATTTGAAATGCAACCTAGGGATTCTGGTGCTGCATCTGGGGGTGGATTGAGTCGAGAGGATAAAGTCCGATCTACTCTTGATGACATTGCAGATAAACTTCCCGAAGAGTTTAATATTGCGGAAATGATGGCAAAGGTAGAAGATCGGACCCCGTTCATCATCGTATGTTTTCAAGAGTGCGAGCGCATGAATATTCTTATGCGTGAAATGAAGAGGACTCTTAAAGAATTGGACTTAGGTATGAAAGGTGAATTGACCATAACCACTGATATGGAGGTCCTGGAGCAGGCTCTTTTTATGGATCAAGTTCCAGCTGGTTGGGCGGTGAAAGCTTATCCCAGTCTTCTTCCTTTAGGACAATGGTGCGGAGATTTGAGTTTACGGATTAAAGAGCTTGAGAGTTGGGTCAATGATTTTTCGATGCCTGCTGCAGTATGGCTGGGTGGTTTTTTCAATCCTCAATCATTCCTCACGGCAATTATGCAGCAGACAGCTAGGAAAAACGAATGGCCATTGGACAAAATGTGTCTCATGTCTGATGTAACAAAAAAACAGAAGGAGGAATTTATGTCAGCACCACGAGAAGGCGCCAATGTACACGGTTTATATATGGAAGGTGCCAAGTGGGATTCACAGCTTGGATGTATTGGCGAATCAAAATTGAAAGAGCTATTCCCTGTTGTACCTGTCGTTTACCTCAAGGCCATCACTCAAGACAAGCAGGATCTTCGCAATATGTATGATTGTCCTGTCTACAAAACAAAAACAAGAGGACCCACATTTGTCTGGACATTTAATTTGAAGACCAAGGAACGTGCATCTAAGTGGGTCTTGGCTGGAGTAGCTATTCTGTTGCAAATTTAATATTTTCATTGTTCATAACATTTATCGTTTGTTAATAAAGTTTGAAAAAAAAATCAAATCAAAGTTTTACATTTTTCTCTGATTGATATAATTGAAATCCATGTTTTCTCGTTTCTATTCATTTCCATTTGTTTTAGTTAATCTAATCTAGGAATATTTAAACATCTCTCATTGCGACAATGTTATATACTGTTTTGTTCTTTTTTACTCACTATCAAATGTAGTGAAGAAAATTAAGTTATCACTTCTCATATTTCATAGTTTCATTTGCAAATTAATAGTATATAATTGTAACAAACTGGCCTTTTTGTGCTTGGGATTTAATGCAAGACGAGTAAATAGATTTCATTAAATTTTGCGTATAAGATCTATCGATCGCGAAAAGTTTACTGCGGCTGTTCCCATTCAAATGCCGCCCTCGGTACGAGTTCCCGTCGCACATAATTCATATTGTATTGAGCCCACTTTACCTCAAATAAACAAACTTAACATCTGACTCCATTGTGCTACGAACAAATCCTTCCTTGCTCCTCCAATTAGAAACAATCATGGCTTCCCATGAAATATAAACTTCTTCGATATATCATTGAATTGTAAAGTAATTTATTTATTATGAACAAATCTAAATCATTTTTGTAAACACTACTTCAACAATAGCTATATAGATGATCAAGCTAAAGCTATTATATTTATACGTTACAGTATAAACTAAAATGATTATAAAATAAAATTAATAATAATAATAAACATTATGTATTGCAAATAGAATATGTTGAGCTAATATAAATAATAATTTATTAGCAGGATGATGATGCGAAAAGAAGTTTATGCAGTGTTGTTATTTTAAAAACTTTGTTTTTAATTTAAATTTTAATTAATAGCAGAATATAATGTAACCAAATACAAAAATAGTATAATTTTCCCGGTTTGACCCACATGACTTCGATTCTCTGTTCAAAATTAAGATCGATTGAGGGAAACTTCAAAAGCAGTCTTCACTATATTACGAATTCATAGGGATTTATGCGCACTTTGGGGATGGTAGTATCGGGGATGTGTGAGTGTGCAGATATATTTTGATTTCCTTGGACATAATTGAGGGTTCGCAGAAAAGAAGATTTGGAGAATTTCCTTGGAAACGAAATAATAATAATAAACTCTGTTCAGAAGAACCTAAGGGACTGGTTACCCATTTTGGATACTTGATAGGATATAAAGAAAAGAAGCGAGTGGAAATATTCTACGAATCAAATACTAGTAATAAAAACAAGAAAGACGAAAGACGAAATCCCTCTCACGAGATATAGCGAATACGAATTTATTTGATTTACTTATATCTGCAGTTTATCAAATTATTATAAACGTAATTAGGTACTTAGCATAATCATAATCGTTGAATATTGTTAATATCTTAAAAATATCACACGTTTATTGTGCAGATAAGCAAGCAAAGCATTCGCCCAAATAAATGTATCATTCCTCAGCAAAGTACGATATGTTGGAAAATATTAAATCAATATTGGTCGACTTCAATATTTAGTCCTTCTGTGAAGCGAGTTAATAACTTATAACAAAAGGATTGCGCTTATTGTAATTAGACAGATTGCAATGTACAAATCGAGAAATATAGAAATGCAAGGAATGTGTTCAGATAATTTCTAAGTACATTTCATTACATACAAGATTTTATAACGTACAGAAGCTGTGCGCATGAAAATAATATTTATTCGAGAAACAGATAAGAAGACTTAAAAGATTACGGATTAACCCCGTTTCTCCCATTTCTATCATTATCTTGCTCTCTTCGATTGATAGGAAGGACAGACTGGATCAGGCTCTTTTATTTAACTCGATATATCGCACCAGATAAGGGCATTATTGGCATAAACACCTTACACTCTCCGATCCAGTTTTCTGGATTAAGGAGTATCGATTACGTAGATAGACTCTGAAGCTGCGATGAAAAAGAGACCCAGATAGAGCGAGGTATAGGGTGATGTTATATTCGCAATCGTAAACGAAATCTCGAAATCATTCGTACCAATTTCTTTCATTGAAAGTAAAACAATTCATAAACAAAATAATACATAATTACATAACGAAAAGATGCGTTTGTATATGGAATATTAGATCTTTTATGTATTTTAATGCATAGTCATCTTTCTATTATATTATTATTACAATAAATATAGCATCAGTTTACAAATATAGAGAAGCTTATTACGTATTTAGAGTAATTCATTCACAAGTAAATTTATACAATATGTACATCCTTTCCATTCAAAATATTTGATATCCCGTCTTCCAATAAAAAAAGGGAAAACTTATCTTCTAAAATAATTGTACTACAGTTAACATATTTTTGCTTATTAATGGTCTCTAAATCCAGTTGCAATTACAATAAGTTAATAATTATCCTGCTTAATGGTAGACATAAACCATAATATTTTCTTCTTTTTGCACATTTTCGTTTTAATATCATTGTTGTAGTTAATGTGGTCGAAAGTTATATGATCCGGAAATTTCCTCGGCCATTTTTTTTATTTTGCTCATATTCTATCCTCGGGGATCCTTGAAGAAATTCAGTTCAACTTTCTTTCGTAGGAAGTGTGGATGAATCGAAGAAGAGTAGTATTAAATTAATTAAAAGCATTTGATGTTTCTTTTGTGCTGTGGAAAATCGAAATGAAGCTTGTTTTCTTTTTCCTCTTTTTGTTGTTGCAGAGAAAAACATAATGTGTGTTTGTGTGTAAGAGAGAAGAGAAGAAGAGAAGAAGAGAGAGGTAAAATAAAATAATAGCGCCGTCCAAAGCTGGACTTCTGGTGTGCCCGAAAGACAATCTGCTCAGGCTTTAGCTTTTTTTATTCGTTTCCCCAATTACCTAATGTGATAAAAAAAATAAGATGTGGGCGTCAAAATCCAGGTGAAACCTAATTTTATTATCTTTTTTCACATTTGATGCATAATTATTTGAATCATGTTGTATTGTTTATCATTATTATCACCTTAGGTTAGTCTGGCCATTTTTTTAGTTGTCGGTGATGATGATAGAGGCGGTATTTGGATGTTATAAGATAGGCATGGCATGTAACCCTCGTGCGGAGCAAACAGTCGTTTTCACGGCGCTTATTTCAAGGGGCTTCGGGTGAGTCCGGGTAGAAGGATCGAGCGAGGGTCGGGCACGGTCGGATCCCAGCCAAGGGGCAGTTTTCCGGGCGGAGTCTCCTGCAGTGTACCCGCTGCAGGATGCCGGGGGTTGAAATAGTCTGCGCGCTGAATTCGTCCAGGTGCGATTGCGATCCGAACAACGATCGTCCTTAAGTGCACCTGCATTTGGACATTGAGGACTTACGGTGGTGGGGGTTCAAATAGTTTTCGAGATGGACGAAGTGCGTGATTTGCGTGACGAGTACCGGCGAAAACAAAACGTCGCGTTGTTGCATCAATTGAATCCACGGCACGACGACACGGATGAAACGCATAGTAATTGAACATCACTAGTAACGAATTTGAAAAACCAAACAATCAGTATTAAAACCTTTATCATTAATATCTAATAAAATTAGTTAGTGTAATTACTATTAAATTGCGTGTAATGTGAGTGTTTCAAAGTAATTAAGTGAATTTATTAACTAGACCAACTGGAACTGACTGTATCGACAGGACCAGAACGTGCGACAAGGATTTTCACGTGGTAATTCTTTTGCTATTCTGTTCCGCATTTCATAGTTTCAAAATTGGTGATTACGAACTGCTCGTAACTGCACTTGAGTTGCTCGCTCGGTCTGAAATTATCCTCTCAGCAAGTATTCATTACTACAACGGGCGACAGGGATAGAGTTTTATGATGGAGGCTATCCCCACTCTCTTCATTTTTTCTTTTGCTGCTGGACCATTTCAGATGCAAACGTGTTCGAAACTCGAGCATCCTAAGTATATGTAATCAAGCAATGATACACTTTTCGAAATATATTATTGGTAGATTCATTAATCAATTTGTAATATATGTCTAACAATTAGCTATGTTTACTGATTATTGTTGAGCAAATGCTATAAAACGATTTGTGGAATGGCATATTTAATGTTAATGAATTATTTTATAACAAACGATTTGCAATTAAAATGAATACAAAATTGGCCTTTTTCTATAACAATAGAAACAATGCAAATTAATGTTTTAATAATTTTTCTTTTTTTTATTTTTGTTGATTTGCGTATAATAGTGGAATATAGTAATAAAAAATACTATAGTGGATGCGCCGGGACTGAAGCAACTTCAAATTTACTATAAACTCGAGCTAGGATTCATTATATTCTCATAGATTTTCTAATAATAAAGATTGTATTTTTTTAATAATTGATATTAAATAATAATAGCGCATTCCTTAATTACAGATATAAAAACTAATCCTTATTATGCAGCAAGCATTCATTTCTTCTTCGACGCACTTTACGACTGTTTCCTTTATCCTTTACATTTTATATCTTGTTTTCTTTTTGAGTCGTGGGTTTGCAAAAAAAATTGGCTCATATAAAAATAAAACCATAAAATATTGCACGTTTTATGGTGCCAACATATTTTCCTTGTCCACTTTAGTTTCCTCCTTTCCTAAATTCTGCTTGTTTTATTTTTCACTACAAACCCTTCGGTCGCAACACGCTCATATAAATTTCTTCCTTTTTCTTCTTTTATGCATTCTGAATTAAAATTCTGCATACAATAAAGAGCGAGTGTGAGGAAAAATAAGTTGCGGGTTGGAGGAACGGAGAAAGCATAAATGTGGACGACGAAAGGAAGAGAAAAAAAGGTTAATCGAGTACAGACGATGGCCAATTTAATTTAAAAAAATGTGTTTTTTTGTTCGTCCTTTCTAACCTTTATTTGGAGCAAAATACCTTCCTAAAAATTAAATATTGTCGAATATATAGAAAATCTCATCAAAAGTATATTTACTTGAATTTTTGAAATTAATGTTGTTCATAATTTTTTTTTTTAAATTTTAAATTGTATATTGATACCAACGTTGCTTTCACTCTACGATATTAAAGTTCAATTGCGTTTGTATGTTCGGCACTATTCAATTTAACGTTACAAATAGAATTAATCCAGACATTGGTGAAATTGAATTTTTATTGCTTCACCAAATACAATTTAAATCTCATCTTAGATTAAATTTTTCAAAGAGAAACAGGATAGGATACTATTCAATTTCCATATTATTGGAATTAGTCAAATCTTGATTATTCTAAATGTTGGGCGGAAAGGCTATAATCAATAGACATTTTTAGATATGTATGTATCTATGTGCTTGTATGCATTACAGTTTTTTTGTATTATAAATGTCTTCAAAATAATGTAATGTCTCTGTCTGTAGTAGTTGAATGTAAAGTCCTAAGGTTATTTAAATTAGTGCGCTGTTGCTTTTTCAGTTTTATTATACTACACATTTGAGTATATTAGATAACTTTTATTTTATTAGAAATTTAGGTGTATCCTGTATTTTTCATACTTTATTTTTTGTATGCCGGCTAATGTGTAGAGCTCACGTGATCGGATTTGAGGCTGTGATGATGATGATGTAAAGGCATTTAGCCGGCGAAGCATCTGCACCATCAATCAGGATAATTCCTTGAAGATTCTGCGGCGTATTACATTCGTAATTGAGTTTACTTATCTTTGATTGGTCAATATTTAATTCTACGAATAAACATATAACGATACTATCTTCATTGATTCAACCATACATTTATATTTTCAATTTATTAATTATTATTAGAATTCAATATATTTATAAAAATATAAAAAATTGGTAATTTTCATTAATTAGTTAGAAATTCGGTTACAAGGGTTGCAAAACTGAATTTAAACATTTTTTATACCCATATATTTAAAATTAGTTTTCTAATATTTTGATCTTTTTATTAATGACCTTTTTAATGATGTTATTACAAAACATCATGATTTTATTACATTACTGTCTTTAATTTTTAGATTTTTTTTTAAATTATCTCCAATGACGCTTTCATGTTTGTTAATTTTTAGAGGGCATATTGATTGTTAATCCAATCTATATTTTAACAATTCATAATTTCAAAAATATAATTGCACAATACTTTCAAATAAAATCAACTGGAATAAATATGTCTCCTGAGTATAAAATATTTAGCATTAGCTGATATTTTTTAGTCAATATTATAAATATTTTGATTAGTTCATTAAAGTATATTCAGTTAGTTTATTTAATCTGAAGTTGATAATTATAATATTTATTAAAGAAAAATAAATAAGTATCTTGTTTCACTTTCAAGGTTGGTGAGTCTTCGAGACCAGATTAAATCGCTATGTTGATTTAACTTTGATGATGCTGTCGATAATTCTGCACGGTTCTACTTAATGACAACAAAAGCGTTTCTTCTTGGAAAATCCATCGCCTTCGAGCATTATTATCGTCATCACTGTAATTATGTTCCACAGTCCGCGATCAAGAATTACAAAATCCATGAAAAGTGGAGAGTGAGGGTTATAGTCCCCCTCCCTCGCCCTCACCGGCACCGGTCACAATAGCTTTTTTTCGAGACCACCGCACATAGAAAAAAATACATTTGCAGCCGCAGCCGCCTAAACCAAAAGTTTAATCAATTTCCTGTCTCGCACGGTAATAAATCATTTTCAGAAGTAACTAACTGTATTTAGAGCCTTGTTTGTTCTGAATTCACGGTTTTCTGTTTGCCATTTTTGTTTTATATTTTTCCACCGGCGCCCAAACTCAAATCAATCAAAAGGTTTAGCCTGCGGAAAAAATCATTAATCTGATTTACGACTTTGACACTTTTCGCGTTTGATGATTTTTGATGTTCGAGCTTATGTGTCACACGTCATAATGAACAAATAAAATTTAATTATTTTATATTGGTTACTGAATCATTATAATGTGTTTTGCAATATTTTTATTCACATTTTTCTCTTACCCAATTTTATCAACGATTAATATGTGTAAATATTTTACTTTATATGCACTTTAACGATAAATGTACCGATGTTTCATGTATACCAAAATTTCACTTAAAAAAGATACTAAATTAATGAAAAAATTAATAAACTTTCGCAAATTAACAGAATACATTTATACAGAATTTACGGTAATTATATAATTTCTTGCATTTATATTAATATAAACATACATAAACATAATTTCTAAATAAGAACCTATTGTTTTTACTACATTTCTAACAAATTATTTCTTAAATGGACATTTTCCGCACATATTTTTTTTACATACAGACAGATTTTTGTAGCTTTTTTTACATTTACTTCTTTGGTTTTTTTTTTTTTTCGTACATTTGAATCTGTAATAATATTTGTGATTGGTGTATGTCAAAGATCAGAAAATATGAAGACTTCACTTACATTTTTATAATATATTATTGAGCATATTTTTTAGAATCTGAGACTTCTCAAAAATATTACAAACTTGTACTTTTCCGAGATTGAAACTTTCTTTTATTTCATACAAATCAGACCGTCCAAATGACTCGGAACTCAATAATAATCTCCTATTCTACCATTATTCAAAATAATTTCTTATTCATTATTCATGTATGTTTCAAATTAATATATTATTGTTTGATAGCTCTCAGGTGGCCTACTTGATTGTGGGTAACATTACAATTGCTATTATATACTGTATTATACGTATGTCACAGTACGACATGTTAGCGTATTCAACATTCCATCCAAACGGATATAATAACATTCAACAGAGTGCACGCGAATGAGTAATGTCCAAAGCATAGAATTCAAAACTACAAAACTAGCTATGAACTGGAGAAATTAATTAAAGTATTTAAATTGGAGGCCTTGACAATAAAATATGTATCATAAAATAACGAGTGTAATTTTCAAACTATATACTTTATTCATCATTTATCGTATGGAACTGTAGAAAATGCATACTGGAAAATAATATTTTTGGATTTGATATTTCGGGTCGCGGATCGATGGCAATGTGGGTGGGTGAATGCGGCAATCCTGAAGAAGAACAAAATCCTCTTCCTTCCTTTCCAGTACCTTTCCGTTCCCGCTTTTTTTTACTGAAGCAACAGCAATTTGCGGCTTCGGCGGCGGCGGTGGTTCAGGCATTTTTAGCTTTTTATCTGGCAGGCCTTTATTCTACAATTTTTACTATTGCATCACGTCTCCCCAGGCGGGCGGCTCATGCGGTGGGATTCGGAGGAGGTGAATCCGGGAGCGGCAGCGCTGCTGATGCTGCGGCGACGGAGGATTCACTTCTTTTCACATTCTCTCGTTAAGCGCTCAAAGCATCTCTTCAATATATTCATTCTTACATTTTCCACTAGCGTTTCTCCTTTAGTTTCTCACGTATGTATATATATGCTTTGTAAAAAAATGCATTATGATTGAACACGTTTTCTTATATCTAAGAAATAATCATTTTTATAATAGCAGATTCTCGTAATTCTTAAATAAATAAACCAAATTTTAATTCGATGATAAAAATAAAATAAATAGAATTTAAATAAATATAATTAAATTATACTTCTGGCAAACATATATAAAATTATCTCTGTTTATCTCATTTTCATCATTACTTTAAGTTAACGAAATTAAAATAGGAGTTGAAAAAAAAAAAAATAATCACTGATGTAAATAAGCAATGTCGTATTTCTCAAACAATATTCTAGTTTATGTATGTTGATTGGCCGTATTTGAAATTTATGAACAATCGATAGAGTAAGTGGACACAAAAGGGCAAGGGCGGAAGGGTTAAAAGGAAAGGGCCATGAATTCGAATGAATCCGCAATTGAGATAGAAGTTGTCCCGCAGGATCTTAGAGGCGGTCATTTAATTAACTTTCCGGCCACGTCGGGCGGCAAATAATTCGAGCAATTAACCACGAATTGTATCCTCTTTTTTCTTCTGTTCCAGATTTGGTTGGTGTTCTTCGTACGTGTCGCGTGTCGTATCATATCGTGTCTTGACATCATTAGTGAGTTAAAGATGAGCTTGCGTCTGCTTTTCTTGCTGCTGGTTTTGAGGGTTGTGGTGGGATTGGAAGGGTCATCGGAGATGATTTTGGGCGCAGAGGTTGCTGAGGCTACTGAGGGAGGAAGCGCTTCTCTGCCCTGCAACTTGGCGCCCGTCCATCCACCGGACAGAGTCAGTTTGATCCAATGGTTCCGAGGTCCTGGACCAGATCAGACAACAAAAACCCTTTATCAGTACGACTTGCGGGGTATTCGACCACAGCACTGGGCAGACCCATCGCTCGGTAATCGATACTTCTTAAGGATTCTTGATGGCGAAAGAGCCGTCTTGACAATTGCACCTATTAATCTCACCGACGAAGACTTATATCGGTGTAGAGTCGAATTCACCAGAACTACCAACCGCTTGACCCACGTTAATCTAACTGTTATAGGTAAGTCATCTATTGATATAAAAGAATGTACATACCATAGAATAGTTAAAACACAATTTTATATACAAAACTATTTTTGATGTTTCCATCAAAAAGACCATCATCATTATAATTTTTATGTCAATTTATCGTCCGTAGTCTTTCACTATTATCTAATATAAATTACGATCTTAATAATAAAAAAATATTGTTAATTGAAAATTTCAAATACTTAATATAATAATGTTAGATTCGTAATTCGTACTGATATAATACAAAATATTAAAATTAAATAATTATTACTATACTCCTCATCAATTTTATATAAAATACAGTCCCATAAATTGTCCATTCAAAAGTGTCAAAAAGAGGTGTTGTATTTGTTAATTTTTAGGGCGCATATGTTTGTGCACTGTGTAATTAATGTAATGAATTTTGGGAAACTATCAAAGTATGCCTTTGTTTCACGATAATATGGGGTAACAAATTGGAATGAGTAGTAATAAATTAGACAAATTCTGATTATGCAAAGTCGATGTAGTGAGATGAAAGAGGTTTGAGTTATATTTATTTGACATAGGAATTCTCTGTTAAAGGAGGTAAGTTGCAACAGATTTTGCCTTTTAAAAAAGGAATTTTTCATCGTTGCGTTCCAACAGCCGTAGCCGCCTCCGCCCCTTCTGCTCTAGAGGAGACGCGTACACACATAAACAAGTACACACGCAAGAGACAGAGGGGTGGATTTCTAGTGAAACAAATACCAGCCTTGGGGTACTTCCATGGTAGTAGCTGTTGGGAGGGCGCCGATGCCTCTTGGCGCTGAATCATAGAGCTCTATCGAGCGGAAACGTTGGCATCGCAATGCCTAGAGTAACACCATCGGATCCTGCAATTAATTGAGGACGCACTATCATTACACTTCCCTGTGTGATTGATACCTCAATTATCTAATATACAAGAATACATAAAACCAATTTCACTTTATATTTCTAAGAATTATATTCATTAAATTAGTTTGATCTTAATTTAAATTTTCAATGATTCATTATAAATAATTTGTACTTCCCCCATTCTTCGTTTTCTTTTTATGGCTCTCCTCCATCTCCTCACTGAAGTAAACTTTGGTTGGATTATTTAAGCGGAATGCGGTGGGAGCTGTAGGTTTAATGTATATATCAAAAGTACTCTACGCCACTTGGATAAATGTTTCGCTTATAATGCAAGGCGCGCCCTTATTTAGCATAAACTCTAAAAGAGAACGTTACCAGAACCTCCCCCATTGGAAGTGGAGAAAGCGAGCCTTAATTTCCTTTTGATTTAAACCATTTACCGCCGAGATGCCATTTGATACCAACGGACTGCAAGCACTCATAACTCTGCGCCCCGATCGATCTAAAGGAAACGTAAATTATATTTTTGTAAATTATAAGAGTTCGGAGAAAAAGTATCAAACATTTAGAAGAACAAACAAAATTACTTCTTCTTTCATATGTTTACATTATTACAAACATAGCTATTGTTTAAAAAAAAATTATAGCAATAGTATATTTTTTATATGTACATAATTACAAACGCTTTCTAATTTTCAGTATTTATGTGTATTTTGATGTTAGATTAAGCTCATATATTATTTAATTTAGTTGCTTTGATCAAAAAAAAATAATTCAGCTATAAAAGAAAATGGAAATAAACGTTAGCCCAAAATTACCAAAAGTTTACTTTTTTCCCTGGGGCCAACTGCGTTATTTAACCGGATAAAAACACAGAAGTAATTGAATCAATCTAAGTTGGTAATCCTGCGGATTTAATACTTTAATGTTGTACGGGATGATGAGAAGTGCCAGCGACCGCACGACGAGATGAAATCTTTTTCATTTTCCAATATCGAAAACGAAAGAGGGGAATTAGGTTACAGCATCACAATTTTTATTAAACTTTCTTTATTATATTTATTGTGTTTTGAAATAGGTGAAACTATTTAAAGTATATATTAATTACATTTATTGAGTAATTGTTTAATAATAATTTATTTAATATTACTCTATTTTATATTACTAGTAACATTTTTATGACACGAGGCAGATGAAACTGTTAAATAATAATAAAAAAAACACATTTTTTGTGCAACAGTAACAAAACTTTCTAGTTGAATTAGCAATGTATGGCACATAAATAATTTAAAATATGATTAATTAAATGTTAATTGATATATCATGATATTTTCTCATAAATTCTATACAAGTCATATTCATATTAAATTTGCATAAAATTATCGAGTTCATTTATCGATTTATTTATTAACAAAAATTCTATCAGCATTATGTTTTGAAAATGAAAATCCCCTTTAATCTACAAAGATCTGTTAACAATAAAACAATATGATATTTTTTGTACATATTGTCAAATTCCATAGCAGAGTTTGCCAAAATTTTCCTGCAACGGAACATATTGCAAATTCTGAAATTTTCACGAAACGTCTATTAACGTTTCGCTCACGGAACATACTTTGGGAAACTTTGTTGTATAGGATAATGAGTGTAACTGTTACTCGCTATAAACGAAAAGTATAATGTAAACAAAAATCATGATATATATGATTCTTCAAATTCTTGCGTATTCTAGGTGCCGTTGTGTGCGTGCGTATTTTTTGTACTTTTTGCCTTACGCTCGCCCCTCTTTCCTCGGCTATAGTTCACTGCTCTCCCTTGCGTATATATATATATATATATTTCACGTTTTGCTTTATAAACTGTGCTCGGCCTGGAGGCTGTATTTCGTTCGCATTTCATTGTTGCGAGGCGGTTTACAGCCGCCGCCATAACTTTTTACTCTCGTACTCTGCTCTCCCCTGAATACGAGAGGGTTAGCAAAGAGGAGTAAAATACTGGAATTAATACGGCCATTGGTTACGGGGGAAAAAGGAAAAAATATATATAAATAAGAAACTTAGATTGCGTTTCGAAAGTCTCAAAAATTACAGCGACACGCTAGCTTTCCGAAGGCTTATAATCCGGAAGTTCAGGGCACACATAACACTCCGAGCTTATATATATATAGTAAAACTCTAAAAATCTTTTATTCTTCGTGATTTCTACCCCAATCAAAATTGTTTGAAAAATGACTTGTATTTTTCATTGGCATAACTAAATATAGTGAATTAAATTTATTATATATAAAATTAAAAGACCATCATAATTTAAGTATGCCGGAAGTTCCGAGTGACTTTTGATCTCACGTATCAAGTGTACCGTAGGATAAAAAGATTTAGAAAATAAAGATAGAAACAAGAACATTGGTCCATATGCAACAATGGGCAATCGACTTGATCTTTCTGCCCAGGTTATTTAAATTACTATTTTAACTTCCTAGAAGAGCTAGGTTTGTTTATTTTACTTTATGTTAGTTTTCTCCATGGAACCATGTGTATTCCATTCTATCATTTTTTATTCACTTCATCCAAATAAAAAAAGCATCTGTTATGGGTAAGATCAAAGAAGCTACAGAATACAATTTTATTTTCTGTCTTCGACCGACCAATATATAAAAAAAAACGATTGTGGAATGATTGCCAAACGGCGTTCTGACCTGTTTTAAACTGAAGTATTAACGTTCATTTTAGGAAATAAGAGTCCAAAGTTATCAGCAATCCCCTGGATTCAAACTCCTCAGTCCCTCTGATCTCTAAATCACTTTAAAGCGAAACAGAATCGAGAACCCAGGAACCGGAAAACTGAAAATCGATCAGTCTTCAACACGAAGTCATTAATTAGCTGAGGAAATCCAATTCTATCTTTTAATTTAAACTCATTATCTTCTCATTAATTCTATCTCTATTTTAAAATATATCTTATTAAGAACTATTTTATAAAAAGTTTACTATTACTATATCTTTCCTTCCTTAAAGAAAGTCAGTAAAAAAATGCTTATAAGAGCGATTATAGTAATTTTAGTAGAAAATGAAATACATACATTTAAATTAGATTTTTCTTCGAAAAATGATAACTTATTGTAGCTATTTTCTGACCTTGCATTACGATGGAACGTCTCCTTTTTGGGATATTAATCTTGGGTTATTCGATCGGGTAACTAAAAAGTAAAAGAATATTCTGAAGTCTGTCTAAAAGTAGGGAAAACGTAATTGAACGTTGCAGCATCTCATTTTATTCTTAATTTTTATATTTCGCGCATGCGAAAACCTTCGTCTCGTCGAAATGAAAGTAAATAACCCGGCGGCTCCGCCAATTTTTCATTTTCTTTTTTCTCTGCATCTCTTTTTCTCTCTCATACACACAAATATCCATAATATTATCACATAACCATGCGAAAAGTCCTGTATATTGTTTTCCCTATATCCATTGCGACCCCACATGAAGATGAAATTAATTCCGTGCGGCCGATTTAGTTGTTTTTGTCAGAACTAACATTTAGCACGTTCAGCTAACATAAAATTGAAATTCCCATAGTAAAGCAATAATACCACTAATAATAACATATAATTTCAGAATTCGTGTATTTTTCAGGAATTTGTTCACAAAAGTAAATAATTTCAATATTCAACGAATATTCATTGGAAAAACAATATTAAATAAAATATTCGTTCAGCCATATTTTTCGGTCATGCATTTTTTATATTCGTTTGCAAATAAGCTAAAATATATATTGATCTGTAATAAAAATAATATTTATTATAACAATAAATTACAAAATAAACACTTAATATTGTGGTGCTCACTCCAGTCCGATTATATGACGTCACCTACAAGCCCGGTACGGTGCGCCCCACTCCAGCCCGTAGCTGGTATTCCGGGAAGGTCTGATAAGGGTACTACCTGGGGAGGGTATATAAGGTGCAACATATCTGTACCGTAGCAAATTTAAGTACATTACAAATACGTACAATAAAATGACTACGTTTATTTATTTAAAATGTATCGAGGCACTCGTTTCATTTATTTTCTTTTTTAAAGATTTTAATCTATGTGATTTCCATGAAAGCATACTTTGATAGGATAGGAATGTGGGTTGCAAAGGCGAATAAAACGCAAACAAATGAGATGATTATAAGCCGACTGAGAATTACTATCACAGATTAAACTTTATTTTCCAAACGTCTACAGCAGACAGAAAATTAAAGGAAAATTTATATATACCTAACGGCGCTTCTTTCATTTAAGTTTTAATGATCCGAGATGACCTTGTTATGGACTAAGCTTGTCTGATTTAATTCGCCGCATCCGTTTCCGGCTACCACTACCAAGGCCTCAGGTGTTCATTTCACCGTTTTGCTTATAATGCGGAATAATGAGAAAAAAATTCTCCATATTTTAACTAATTTCGCTATTCTGCAAATAAATTCGCATTCAGCGTCGACGGTTTTCGTTTTCTGAGAAGCCAGTTTTGCGTCATTAATCGTCTGAGGAATTAATCTTCCATGAAACGTCACTGCTGTGAAACATACGTAAACAGCTGACAAACGGGAAAACATCGTCTATTGACTTCTATTATCTTATCTTAAGAATGTCACAGCGCGTGAAACCATCGGAGACTATTAATTGAGACTATTAAAATTGATTATTATTAAATAATTCATTTATTACTTAGCTCGAGTCTTTTTATGTTACTTGAAACATATCCATATCATAGAGTCCTACGATAGTTAAAATAAATAGGAAAATGGTAATTTCACACTATGCTGTTATATAATAATTAATTAAAATAGATGATATAAAAATTTAATAAGTATGTCAGAATTATTTTAAATATAATGTAAGACTTTCTACATAGCAAATAACTTTTGCGGTTATTTGCTTATAATATGATTCG